CACACTCACTCAAGTAAAGGAGAGCTTGGAGTAAAGTATTTCAAGTTCTAACAGAAAAAAACTTTCAAACCAGACTGATGTACCCAACAAAACTATCTTTCAAAATTGATGGAGAAACAAGATATTTCCCTGACAAAGAACATATGAGAAAATTTAAGACCACCAAGTCAACACTCCAAAATATTTTGAAGTACATTCTAGAAAAACATAACAAGGATTACAACTCCATGGATCCCAACAAAAGGAATCTACCAAGCAAGACAAAATAATTAAACAGATGAAGGTGGGAAAGTGGGGGGCAACAACAAGAAAATAATATAACAATGAAAAAAATCAATACATATCAGTTATAGCCATCAATGTTAATGGTCACAACGCACCAATCAAAAGACACAGACTGGCAGAATGGATCAAAAAGCAAGATCCAACAATATGTTACATGTAAGAAACACACTTCATTCAAAAAGAAATTCACAGACTGAAAGTGAAAGTCTGGAAAACAATACTCCACATGATAGGAACCCAGAAAAAGCCAGGAGTAGTTATTCTGTTTACAGACAAAGTAATTAAAGCCAAGTTTCATTAGTAGAGATAAGTAAGGTCACATACATCCTTATAAAAGGAATAATCCAAAAGGAAGAGACAACTAATCATACATATATATGCAACTAATACCAGTGCACCCAAGTATATGCAACAATTACTAACAGACATGAAAAATCAAGCACTAATACAAATGTATTGGGGAAATCTCAATACTCCACTGTCACAAAAAGACAGATCAAAATATCAACAATGAGATTTGTGGGCTGGGAAGAGAACCAAGAAGTCAGCCTGTCCTTCCTGTGAGCCGGGGCAGTTATAGGTTGAGCAGAGAACCAAGATGTTAACCCGCCCTCCCCATGAGCCAGCAGAGCCATGAGGCTGGTAAGAGAACCAAGAAATCAACCTGCCCCTTCCATAAACCAGCAGCAGTTGTGGGCTGGGAAGAGAATCAAGAAGTCAACTCCACAGTTTCCATGAACCAGTCAGTACTTAGGTTGGTGACAAGATGACATCCAATCTCCCACGAGCAACCAGCTGATTTGGAGGAATATAGCCTGGGACAACAGCAACTGAGGTACAAAAACAAATTAATGTTTCTATTGACTGACTGAATTTGCAGGCCTAATGCCAGTAGCCTGAGCATCAGTTTAGAGCATAACAATGTGCAACACATCAACTACGGGGAATTTCCTTCTGTCTTGTTTTTGAAATCCAATATTGCTCTTACTGTTTCGTTTTGTTCCATTTTATTGTTTTGTTTTATTCTTTCAAAATAAAAAAAACCAACGATGAAAAATATTAGAACTGAACTAAACTTTTGAACAAATGCATTTAGTAGATTTTTACTGTGTTCTACCCCACAACATCAGAATACACATTTTTTTTCAGTTACACTTGGGACATTCTCAAAATAAACTATACTAGCTCACAGAACACACTTATGTAAAGGCAAAGGAATTGAAATAATCCCATGCATATTATCAGACCATGGTGCAATGAAATTGGAAATCAACAGCAAAAGAAATCAGAAGAACTTCATAAACACATGGATATTAAACAACACCCTTCTGAAAAATCAATGGGTCACAGATGAAATTAAACAAGCAATTAGATAGTTTCTACAATTCAGTGATACTGACAATACAACATAGCAGAACTTAAGCAACACAATGAAAACAGTCCTAAGAGGGAAATTTACAGCAATGAATATCCATATCAGGAAAATAGAGCAAGCACAAGTAAACAACTTAATGATGAACCTCAGACTTTCAGAAAAAGGAGAGCCACAAGCTTGTATGGGCAAGGAAAGTATAAACATCAGAGCAGAAATTAGCAGAATAGAAACTAAGGAAACAATGAATCAAACAGTTCTTTGAAACATTAAATAAAATTGACAAACTCTTATCTAACTATGAAAAGACTCAAATCCTCACAATTAGGAATAAAAAGAGTGAAATCACAATGGACCCTGCAGAAATCCAGATCATCTATAGCTACTTGAAAACTTGCATTCTAATAAGATGGAAAATGCAGAAGAAAATGGACAGATTCTTATATACATATGAATTACTAAAGTTGAATTGAAAAAAGTAGAAAATCCTAAGTAAACCAATATCAATCAGTGAAATCAAAGATGTAATTAGAGGGGCTGGGGATTTAGCTCAGCGGCATAAGCGCCTGCCTTGCAAGCAGGCAGTCGTGAGTTCGATCCCCGGTACCCATAAAAAGGGAAAAGGAAAAAGACAAAAAAAAAAAAAAAAAAAAAAAAAAAAAAAAGATGTAATTAGAAATGTTCCCACAAAGAAAAGCCCAAGCCCCGACTGATTCACTGCTGAATTCTACAAGAAATTTAGAGAAGATCCAACACTACTATTTCTCGAACTCTTTAGGGAAATTGAAAGAGAAGCAATATTCCCAAATTCATTCCTGGAAGCAAGCATTATCCTGATACCAAAACCAAGGAAGGATCCACCTAGGAAAGAAAACTATAGGCCAGTCTCCCTAATGAACACAAGATACAAAAATCTTCAAGGTTCTGGCAAAAAGAATGCAGAAAATCATCAATGCACCATGACCAAATGAGTTTCATCCCAAGGGTACAGGGATGGTTCAACATATGCAAATCAATAAATGTAATACACCATACTAACAGAGCAAGGACAAAAATCATGTATCATCTCACTAGATACAGAAAAACTTTTAAACAAAGTCCAGCACCTACTCATGATAAAAACCCTACAGCAAATTGGAATAGATGGTCTTTATCTCAAACTGATAAAAGCCATCTACAATAAACCAGTAGTCAACGTCATACTAAATGGACAAAAACTGAAAGCTTTTACTCTAAAATCAGGAACAAGACAAGGACGTCCACTGTCTCCACTCTTATTCAGCACAGTCCTGGAAACTTTAGCCAGAGCAATTAGACAAGAGAAAAGGAGTAACAACATGAAAGGATGGAAGTTAAATTATCATTATTTGCAGATGACTTGATACTCTACACAAAAGACCCCCCAAAACCCCACTAAAAAACTGCTAGATTTAATAAACAAATTCAGTAGCACAGTTGGATACAAAGTTAACAGTCAAAAATAAATAATTAGAGCCAGGGATAATAGCAGCACGACACCTGCCTGGCAAGCATAAGGTTCTGAGTTTGCTCATCAGCACCCATCAAAAACCAAAAACAAACAAATAAATTAAAAAAAAACCCACAACTAGATCCAAAGATCAATGGAAAAGATTAAAAGATGCAGAAACAACTCCAAACATACTCAGTTGCCTTATCTTTGACAAAGGTGCCAAACACATTCACTAGAAGAAAGATAGTCTCTTTAATAAATGGTGCTGGAAAAACTGGCTCTACACATGCTAAAGATTAAAATTAGACCCACATCTTTAAGCACTAAACTAAAAACAGATTAAAGATCTAAATACTAGAACAGAAACACTAAATCTGCTAGAAAATAGGTGAAACTCTTTAAGTCATTGGTGTAGGCAAAGACTTTAAACTAGAAGTCCAATGGCACAGGAACTATCTCAACGAATCAAAACTGGGATCTCATTAAAAACCACCAACAAAGTGAAGAGAACTCACAATGTGGGAAAAATGTTTGCCAGCTGTTTCTTAAAGGATTACTATTGAGAACATATAAAAAAACTAAAAAATATCAGACCTCCCAATTTAAAGGCCCAATACAAAAACGGGCATCTGAGATGAACACACAATCCTCAGATGAAGAAATATAAGCAGCAAACATATATGAAAAAATGTTGACCATCACTGGTCATTCAAGAGATGCAAATTAAAACAACACTGAGATTCATCATACGCCAGAAAGAATGGCTATTATCAAGAAATCAACCAATAATAAATGCCAGTATAGCTTGTGGGGAAAAAGGAATCCTTTTCCACTGTTGGGAGTATAGAAATCAGTATAGAAAATTCCTCAAAAAACAAGCATTACAGATTTCATTTGAGCCAGCCATTCTCCTTCTGGGTATTTTCTCAGAAGAATTAAAAACATCACACCACAGCAATAATGTTTACTGCAACATTATTCGTAATAGATCTTGGAAACACTCCAAATTCCCATTAATTGAGGAATGGATGAAAAAGATATGGTCTTTTTATACAATGGAGCACTAGTCAGAATAAAGACAAACTGGAGACTTTCTCAGGCAAATGGATGCAATTCAAGACCATACTCATGTGAAATAACTCAGACGCACATATGCACACATCATATTGTTTCCCTAATGTGAGAAACTAAAAGAGTAAATACGATATTGTAAAATGGTGAAGAAACTGTTCAAACAAAAGAAAACTGGGACAAGGAAACGAGAAAAGAAGAAAGGGAAAAGCAAAAAAACAAGGAGGAGGAGGAGGAAGAGGAAGAGGAGGAGGAGAAGGAAGATGTGTGTGTGCATACAAAGATAATTAAATGCCTGAATCATGTACTCTGAGTAATTTAAAGCTAATACGCAATTTATTAACCTTTGTTGCCTTCTATTATCATATTTTCAAATTTTATTTTATTTCTTTTCTCTTTAAAATGAAAAAAAAAAATACAAAATAGAGCTCTAGGGCTGAGGGTGCAATTCAGCGGTAATGTACTTGCCCAACATGTATGAAACTCTGAGTTTGACTATCAGAACCATAGCAAATGAAAAGGAAAAACAAAACAAAGTAAAACAAAAGAAATGAGAACTCTTGAAAGAGTTCAAGACTAAAACCTTGAAAATGACATGAAAATTCAGAATTGAAGAGATCTGGCTTATAGCTACAATGAGATAAAAACACACATCTTCAAATACCTAAGACAGTTAAAATGGTCTATACTTTTTCTCAAAACCAACTATAAATTAAAAAAGAACTACTATGAAAATACACAATCATTTAAAAAATACAATTGCATTATTAACTGATGGCAAAATAAATCTGAAAAACTTACCATCATGGGAAAAACTACTGCAGCAGCCGAAGCTTTTATCACCCACAACAGAACCAGACAAGTGAGCTGAATGACTGTGAAAATGTGGACCTTCCAGAGAGGCACATAGCGGAGGTAGATAAGATCAGGCTGGTGCTTTGCAGGCATTCCAAATAATTTTATACGATCAAAAAACTAGATGGAAGAGAAACAAAACAAAGCAAAACAAAAAAAAGAAAAGGTTTCAACAAATGCTATTTCCAGTGTTCAGAAATAACACTGTACTCAAACTTAGGGTTCTCATGTTAAATTTAAAACTGTAACTTCCTTGAAAAGTTCTGAGAGTATAGCACACCATTTTAGAAAGAATCTCTGGATCTGGTTACTTTTTTTTTTTTTTTTTTTTGTCTTTTTTTCCTTTTTATCGGTACCGGGGATTGAACTCACGACTGCCTGCTTGCAAGGCAGGCGCTTATGCCGCTGAGCTAAATCCCCAGCCCGAATCTCTGGATCTGAAGAACGAAAAATCAGCTTGAACTGTTGCAATTAACTAGAATACCCAACACGAAATGTTGTTCTAGGCAGGATAAAACATTTAACCTCTGAACTTGTTTTCTATTTAAGTTTAACTAATGAATAACCATCCGAATGACTTGTAAGGTACTCTCCAAGACTAACAGTACTTCTTCTATGAAGATAACTTGAAGTCGCAATATTCAAGTATTCATTCATTGAAAATGAAACCCTGTGCAAATTTCTTCGCTTCTTGTGCTTTAACTTTCTCATTTATAAACTGGGAATAAGATCAGCCCTCCCAACCTCACAAAACTGCTGCCAAAAAAAAAAAAAAATCAAGTAAGATATAAGGATATTTTCTAACTAATAAAGAGCGGAGATCCTGGACCAAGCTTTTAAAAAAATCTACCTTGTAAAAATCCTGCAGCCACTAGTACAACAGCTGGCAACTACAGACGACAGCATTTCTGTGAGAAAAAAGTCAAAGGAGCTTACCTGTGCAGCCTTCACACTTTCCACTAACATCTGTACCAATTTTAGTGAGTTTCCTCAGGTTCTTTTCCAAGAAGTAGCGGAAGTCAAGACAGAGTAGTGAAATGACTGGGTTCTGGCCATGTCCCTAGTGCTCACTTACCAAATAACCCCTGCAAGTCCCTCTACTTATCACCTGATTTACAAAACTGAGATTTTTTTCCTTTCCTCTTTCTCAATCACCATTTTAAACATCAGAGAATAACTCATGTCCTAAACCTTCTAAATCATACTGTGCCATACAAATCAAAGACAATACCACTGTTAAGAGTAAAATGTACACTTTGCTTTTGAAATTCGTAACAAACTGACTTTAAAGTCTCGGGAGAAATAAAGCACTGAAATTGGTGTTCTGCATGTTACAAGCAGAAATTTTTTCCCCTTCCACTTCTTTTGATCTGCCCTTATATTGCAACACTCTGTCCTGAGAGTTACAGGGGTTTTTGCTTTAGCTTTAAAAACAGGTGAGGAGGGGCTGGGGGTTTAGCTCAGCGGCATAAGCACCTGTCTTGCAAGCAGGCGGTCGTGAGTTCGATCCCCAGTACCGATAAAAATGAAATGAAAAAAGACAAAATAAATAAATAAATAAAAAAAAATAAAAATAAAAACAGGTGAGGGCCGTGTTGGTTCACGAGCTTAATTCTTGGAGTGGCGGGACAGGAAGCAACAACTACGTCGCAAGTGTGGACCTGCAGTCACCAGTTAAAAAAAGTCACCTGTCCTGCAAGAGTACAGAATAAATCACTACCATCATAAAACTTAATTCCTGCATATTTTGAATAGTTTTACATTTTTCAACATAAACATTAAGTACTTAGGACTTGCCTGGATTCCTTTTAATGAGGAAACTCCCATATAAAGGAAAACACCATACAGAACAGGCATCGGAATAAACTGCAAGTAAAATTACCACACTCAGTATTAAAATAATACTAAACACAACATTACTAAGTATGCTAGTGAAACACAGTAACGAGTACACAGAAACATAAGTTTAGTGAAAAAAATCAAAAATCTTTACTGATGAGAGTTGGGTCAACCTAATATTTCTATGCCTAAGACAATGCTAAGAACCATAAACTCCTTGAAACTTTGTTCATCTTCTATGTGTTCCTTCCTGAAAAGGGAGTATTTTCATAGGTTAAAAGAACAGGAACTGTAGTCAAATTACTTCGTTTAAAAACCTAGTTAGCTTTTTAAGCAAAAAACATTTTCTCATGCTTGAGCTTCTACATCAGACAACTACGACAATTACATTACTTCAAATACATAAAAAGCAGTCAAAAACGCAGTTGAGACATTAAAAATCACTCAAAAGTCATCAGGAATTACAATTATTGTCAATGCATCCTATAGTACCAATACTGTTCAGTATTATTTACTAAATAATACCATTGAACTCCACCTCTAAACTAAAGGCCTTATTACTCTTAAAATTATGCAAATCCCAAACCACCTATCTATTTTACACCCAGGCCTTCTATAGTAAATCCTGGCTATTAACAGGCCCCTTAAATTAATTAAAACCACAATCATCGCTCTGACCAAAATGAAAGGCCTTAAGGCAAAAAACACTCAGCAACACAAAGAAAAACTCTATCTACTACACCTCACATAACTGACCTAGATGCTCTTCTAAGAGCCTTGGAGGAAAAAGAAGTAAAACTCATGAAGAAAAGAAAATGGACTTTTAAAATCTAGCCAGGCCCAGTGAGGCATACCTATGCCCCTGGGATCCCAGTACTTGGGAGGCGGGGGCAGGAGAATCACCCTAAGTTTTAGATCAGCCCGGACTCCACAATGAGTTCAAGACCAGCCTGAACTAGAGTGAAATAAAAATGATTTTGGATAGTCAAGTGTATTTTAATGTTTAATTTTCATGCAACAAGCATAAATAATATAATAAATGAGATTTTAAAACACTGCAATGAAAAGGTTTTTACCTTCAGTACTGAAGTCATGAACACAGAGAGGCCCATTAGAATAAAAATCATTAGTCCTGTAACGCGCTGCTCACGAATTCCCAGAAACTTGGGTTGTTCCCCTGGAGCAGAACACTCCGATTCAACCTTTAAGCTGTTGACGTGACTTATGGACAGCACCGTTGCAGCCACAAACCATGGAAGTCCCATGACAGAGCAGACGCCCAACATGACACCCACCATCAGCAAGTCAAGGTGATAGCCAGCCCCTTTCTGAAAAGCAAAGTGAGCACAGATGTTTCTAAGTCTAAATAGGCTCAAAATCTACATTACCTGTAAAAAGGGAAGAAACTGGTTGTTACCTTGCATCTTTTAAGGTTCCAATGAAGAAAATTCAAGCCCTGAAGGAATCACAATGCTAAACACAAAATTTAAAAATTACCTTCAATTTGTGTTCCTTTCTGTTTATGATTACAGCCGTAATCTGCTGATCCATGAAGATGAGAATAGTACAAAGCAGAGCTGGAATAGCAGCTATCAATAAGGTCCACCAAGGATTATCTCCCAATGGGCTTATGATCCAGCCCCTATTTGGATCAGTGGGCTGTTAAAAATTAAAGATTTTTTTAAAAGTTTCAGTCTTTAGTGCTCTAAATTTCAACCGCATAGAGTGGGACTTATAAGAACTCAATTAAGTCCAACTGAATTATTTGCAAGCACAGCATGCCCCTCACCACCTGACTCAGCTACTCTTTTCAGGTACTTCCTTCTCCCTTGAACCTGGGATAACTTTACAATTTTATTCCACAGAATAAGGCCAAAGTGCTGACCTCTAGAAATTCTGCAGCTTCTGGAACCCTGTTAAGATTATGCCGTTAGATAAGCCTAGATAAGCTTTCTTAGGGACATAACCCAATGGACCTAAAATAAGATGGTGAAGAAGGACAGGAAGGCAAACAAGTACCACTGCAGCCACTTTAACCACTGAGCTAAGTCCCCAGACCCGTGCAGGAAGCCACAGCATCCCAAAGGCTCCTGGACATCAAGCAGCTGTGTGAAGGGAGGGCCCCGAAGGGATCCAAAGAGCCAGCAAATCCACTCCCAGCTGGAACAAAGTCACAAGCAAATAAAATGTGCTGTTTGGAGATCACATTTCTAGTTTTGTTATGCAGGAACAAGACAGGCAAACCAGAGTGTCATTTCGACATGGTCTGATATCCTTCATAATCCACACGCTAGATCAACTTTTAAATTAAACTGCTTTAAAGATCCTAGACACTAGTGATCTCACCAGGATTGGTATCAAGACAAAAATGGTTCTGAGGACATTGTTTCTCCAAAGCAACTTCTCACAAAAATCTGGCACCTTCTCAGATACTAACAGACTTTAATGCTGTAACATAAAGTTTACTTTTATAGCCAAAACTGTTTTACAAGATCACAAGAAGCTGAGTACTTTTGGAGAATAGTAAATGAAAACAGATGTTTTTATTACCTATGCTCAATATTAAGCTTGTTTTTCTTTAAAATCCTTTCAAAGCTCAAGTACTCTCATCTTCTCAAATATGTATTAAAACTGCTGCACCATATTCAACAATTTATACAAATAAAAATATTCTGTTCATACAATGTATTTTATTTTGTGTTTCATATTTTGATTCCCCACATATACTTTCTACACTCTAAAATCATTCTGCTCTGCAAGCAGCATCAATAAATAAATAACAAGCATATGTTTGGGAATACCAATAACATGTTTCAACTGATATTAGAGGAAAATACATCAATATTTTAAATGACTATTAATTTATCATTCAACTATTCATATGTTCTCATAATACTCGGTAAAAACACTGACTTTTAAATACAAGCCATTTCTTAATGACTCCAAATCTTTGGGGTGCAGTGTCTATGATTTCAAACAGAAGTCTCCTAACTCCTTTTATTGTAAACCCTTAGCAACAACAACAAAAAATTATAAACTCAAATGCTCTATACTCTTTACATATTACATTGGTTATCAACAGAGTAAATATAGTTTTTTTCTTATTTTAAATTAAAATACAGATTTTAAATCTAAAATACACATGACCCATCATTTTCATATATACACCTTACTTTGGAGATCATTGGTTTTAATGATGTTTTTATGCCAATGAATGAATGACGTTCATTATACTCCTACTTCTGACTTCTTTTTAAGTATCTATTTCTAAAAAAATTTACATAATTCACTAAATGTGAAGATAATTATAGCCAGTAAAATGACACAAAATGTGCTCTTTTTATTCACCAATAAAATAAAAATCTCCTTGAAAAAGGAGCATGTAAATGGATACACACAGGTACAATCATAAACAGAAGTGGATGAAAGAAAACAAAAGTAGACAAGAAAGAAAATGTGTATTTGACCCTTACACAATGTAGAAGGGGTCACTAACCCTACTCATAACTGAAAATCCAAGTTGTAACTTGGCTTTCTAAAAACTTGAATAACATCCTATTATCTTAAGAGTAATATGTATACATATTCTGTACATGTAATATGCATTATACACAGTGAAAAATAATAAGACCCATGAGGGATCACTTTTTTACATGGTACACAGTCTACTGGAGAGCACACGCTCCTGAAGACATGAGCAGGGCCAAAGGGGATGAAACAAAGGCCTGAAGTGTTTCAGTTCACTGCAAATAGCAACAGGGGGTACAGCAGCTACAAAACTATTACAGTAGCACTATAGGCACTATCATTAATTTTAAGTAGTTGTGATTTAACACCATGTCTTTACATTCATTTAGTTTCCCCGCTATATATGACACCATGTCTTATGCATGTTTTGGTAACTTAACTTTTTATATTATATATTTTATAGTATTAACCACTTACCATTCCAATTGTTTATGATCAAAAAGTAATTTTCATTAAATTTAACAGAAAATATAAAAACAACAATTTTATCAAATTTATTCAGTACAAGAATCTCCTGGTTGACATAACACCAATCCAAGTAATAACTCAAAAAGTTAGTACATAAATAAATTCACTGCTTGAGTGATCTCTGGGATAAACTGTTAAATGGTTAAAAACAGACCATTATTTCTCTCTATACATATCTTAAGCATCCATGACCCACTTCACTTTTTCAACATTTCTAGATTATGTAATTTACCTATTTACTGTGTTTATTTCCAAATAAAATAAAAATCTCCTTGAAAAAGGAGCATGAAAATAGAACCACACAGGTACAATTCACAGTCAAGGTATGACTGGAAAAAAAAAATCTGCCAATTTAAACGTATGTACATGTGTATGTGTACGTATATAAAAAAAGAGTTAAGATAGTTAGATTACTGATTTCTCTGAGCTTGCTGAAGAGGACAACTGAAGGCAGATGTCATGTGCTCTGGGGGAATGATTTGGGGATGAAAATAAAGAGTTCTTCATTGAATATCATTTTTCTTCTGGAACATATCTTTCCATTGATTCTGCTGGAAAATATTACATGGAGCTCTCTAATTACTGTCAGATAAAATACAAAATTTATAAAGGAACAAAGAATGTTTCTTTTTCCTTGGATAGTACATCCAGAATTCCAGCTAGTAACGTACTATTAACAGGCACTAACACGAAACGGAGACTCCAGCCAGGAAAGCAGAGTCCATTTTTCAAACAGCTCCCAAATCTTCACCATATATGTAAGTATTCAGGGGGCAGCATCTCAAATTAAAGTAGTTTGATAGTCTCAAGTAACAAATAGCCACTTATTTTAAGTCTTACCTCAAATTTTTCAGGAACATGAAGTTTAGGAGATGGAACTCCTACAAAGTAGTCAACTGCAACCATTATTACTATTGTAAGAAATACAGCAAAATCACTGATTGTCGCTCGCACCTATGTTAAAGGGATTATGTTAATATAAATACAAAAATACTGTGTCCTTTCTGAGTCATCTTTCAAGATAAAATTTCACTAAAAAGTACAAAAATGGTTTTAAACTACCAAAGTATAATCAGTGACATACACATCTAATGATTTCCAAAGAAACAAAATTCACAACTATTCTACCCTTTATCTCATGATACCATAATATTCCCACAGTGAGCTCAGACACAGTATGTTTTTCACTATAAATTTCTTCATTACTCTCTGGCATAAAGTATTATCTTTAAATAATAATACTGTTTTGAAATAAACAAAGAAAATGAAAGATTAAAAACATGAGCATTACCAGACTGCCAAAATTTCACCCCAAAATTTCACCAGACTCCCAAAATTTCACAAGTTACCTTGGTAGGAAAATAACGCTTGGTCTTGAACTGCTTGAGGAATGAACACATAAAAAAGGTTGTAAAAAATAAGATGACACACCAGAAGAGCACATCTGGAATATAAGGTCCATGGTGACCACAAGCGGATCCTACAAATACCCCATGAAAGGTTTTACATTCCTATAAAACAAGGAGAAAAAGGAGATGGAAGGAATTTCCAACATTCAGCGAATGAATTTCACTGACTCTAAGATGCAAGTTATATGTCTCACTTAGAAAAAACATTGCCAAATCAACTATAACATATTATCAATTAACTGTAAGACACATTTGACTTCAGTGATGTTTGTCTATATAAATCACTGCAGTAATAGTACCTCCCCAAGTTATTCTTGTCTTCAAGCTTCCTTTAGTGAAAGGTTTGAAATGACTACTGAACTATGAAATGTGGGTTATTAGTCCACAATTACTGTCATTTCTTTATTTTTGAACCGGTGGTTTAAAACAAAAGTAGCAGACAGGCTGTTTATGGCTACAATGCCCTTTATGATGCTGAAAGAAGACGCTTCAGTATTAAACTGAAGTCAGTAGTAAAAACCATGGATAGCTCTCCAGATTTCATTCAGACCTTGAAATTAAAGACATGACGTTTAGTGACCAACAGAACAACATTTTTATTACTAACATCAATGATATGGTCAAATTATTGCATAATAAATGTGATTATAAAAGTCTATTGACTTGATTTTCCTTTTGAAGGAAAAATGTAGCTGAAAGGCAGTGAGAGATTAACAAAAGGCACGTAATTTTAAAGGCCTTCTGTTTCTCACTTATATTCTTATAAACATAATTCATTTGAGTAAACAGCCTGCCAGGCAAGTGCAAGGTCGTGAGTTCAATCTCTGGTACAAAAAACAAAAGTAAATAGCAAACAAAACAAAAAAACCTTTTGGTTTACTGAAAGAACACTTAAAAGTTCTGTTTATTTTCAAGTTCCATGTACAGAGAGTAGTAAACCTAGGATAACCCATGGTTCATAGAGTTAAAAGCTACAAAACAATCACCTGACATGGCCTTTTGGATATCTAGAAAATATACTGAAAATACCTCAGCACCTTATTTATCATGAAAAATACCCTTTACAAGTCACTTTTGAGTAGTACCTTTATTAACTAGATCTCTACCATTTAAAAATAACTTTAAATATAAGTAGGAGAGGATGAATCTACATGACTATTGATTGTTACTGCTTTAAATCAGCAACATACAAGAGGACTTTGGATGGCAGAATGATGTATTTCTGTACTATTTAACACAGAAGCTAGTGGCTACATAACATGGCTGGACACTTGGAAGTCTGGCTATTCAATGAAAAAGTAAACTTCTCATTAATTTTAAATACATGTACTAATTAGGTATCATATTGGACAGCACAGCGTTACATTAAGAATTTAGTGGCCATTACCTTTAGTGAGAAAGGAACGATCTATAGTACTGAGAGAAGATACTAAACAAAACAAAACAAGCCAAAGAAGCTTAGTGTTATGGTTGATACAGTGTGTCAACTTGAGAAGTTTAGAGCCAGGGTCCTCACTGTAAACATCCTGAGTCTGTGCAGGAGGAGGGTAGAAGATGCTGTGATTGCTACATCCATCCTAGATGGGAGGATAGTAGTCTGCTTACCATCTAAGGGAGGGAAAGAGATTTGCTCCCCACCCCCACTTATGTTCTTGTTGCTGTTGCTGTCTTCTGCCACCCTCAAGTGTTGCCCCTGCGCCACGCCACCCTGCTTTGGAGCCAACAGATTATGGACTGAAAACTCTACAAACTGTGAGCTAAATAAAGCTTTCCTTACTTAATTTATTACAGAATACCTGAAATAGCCATTATCATATATTAGGTATTCGTAACATGTTTTTGCCATTTTTCATTCCAGTTCTCTTAGTACTTCAATCAGACTAGCCTCTAAGAGTCAGACAAGATTCATAAGCATACTCATATCTTTGGATAATTCTATCCTGGGAGGGAAATACTGTCCATTTTTATCTTTTTTATCAGCTTCATTCCTTTAAGCCTGTACTTTTTTTAGTGCATGACCCACCCAAAAGTGGGAACTACAATTTGGTTAAAAACACTGTATTCTGAAAAAATACTACAAATTCATTCATCTAGAAGCAACAGCTAAACAAACAGATTAGCATAATATTGACCAAAACTCTTTAATACAAAATATACTTACAGAAACAGTGAGATTTCTCCAAGAAATATCATGAGCAGTTAAATTCTTGTTCTTCCACAGTGCTAGGGTTTCATTGCTAGGATCAGGAGGTGCAATACATACACATCTGAGAAATTAAGAGTAGTAGAAAGTTTTAAGGGTCCTACATTTTATGTTCGTATTCACTAAATCATTGGTATAAAGTGGTAGCTTTTAATTTCCTAACTTCTTTCCACTTTACAAAGCATGGGGACTAGGAAAGAAAAGTGCATCAAAAACAACAAAATGAAGTCTGGGTGCTATAAACAGAACAAATACAAATATTGATAAAATGTTTATATCATCAAATTGGGCAAATATGTCCTTGGGAAGGGGCCATCTTTAAAAACGTCTTTTAAAAAATTTCATATGATACTCCCATATTTTTAAGTAAGATTACTCATTAAATGCTCTCTCCTCATTCTCCATAGCAGTTACTGTTCTCCTAATAGGCATGTATTTCCAATAAAACTTACAGTATGGTTAAACCCTATTAATATTAAGCCATATTAATTAAGCTCTCTTAATATTAAGCCCTACTACTCTTGTCCAACCTTTGATCTTAAGATTCATTTTTTAAAGTCAGTTCACATTTACACTACCTGCTTATGTTCTGTGTGGAGTTGGTGCACATCCATACCAGATCTTCATACTTTTTTATTTGCTTTCCCTTCCCTCGCACCATCCTCTTTTCATTTCTTGACCCCCCCCCTTCCCATTTGAGGAAGACCTATCTCCTCACTTCCTATTATTTTTTATTTTGCTCTTCACAATTTGGGTTCCTCATATCAGAGAAATCATGGTGTGTAAGCATGTGTGACTGATCTATCTCACTTAACATTTACAGCCTCACCGTGCACCCACTTTCTTACAAATGACTTTAAGTTTATCGTTCATTATAGTACAGTATACTCCATTATATGGAAATATCACATGCATGCTGAAATAAAAATTTTTCATCAGAATAGGATCAGCAAATTGATGAAATCAGAGTTCAGTTCCTATCTAGATCTATTGCTACTGCCTAAAAAAAGTTGGAAATACAAATAATCAAAGAAAACTCGAAATAAAAACCTAAAAAAAAAGAAAAAAACAAACAAATATGCATACTCCTATTAGATTATGAGCTATCTGAGACAGTGCAAGAAATTGTGAATCAGCCCTTTGTTCTAAAGGCTTTAACTTCCAAGAGCTTCCATTTTCTGCATACAGGAAAAGGGCTACGTGTTAACAATATAATACGAATTAGGCAACTGTAAGCACAACGTCTGCAAGTGCTCACAGAATGTTAGGCAAATGAATACAATTAACATGGAACTCAGTTAACCAAAAAGAAATCTGTTCTAACAGTCTGTCACTAACAATAAAAGCCATGCTTGAGAAAGATCAAAAAGATAAAGGGCATCGGGCTGGGGATTTAGCACAGGGGCATGAGCACCTGCCTTGCAAGCAGATGGTCGCGAGTTCGATCCCCGGTACTGATTAAAAAAAAAAAAAAAAAAAAAACGATAAAGGGCATGGAAAGAGAAAAGCCAATGAAGAAAGAGTAAGTGAAGAATGTAAGAACAAAGACTACACACTTAGCATCAAAGTGTCTCTGATGCTTTCAAATAAGTCAAGGTCATGTAAGTTTTCATTTCCATCCCTACTTGTCCATCAAAGATGAAAGTATGCAAGGAAAGGAAAGGGGGGAGAAAGAAGAAGTATAAAGGGAAGAGAAGAAGGGAGAGGCTGAAGGGCTTTGGTGGGTAGAGGAAGAAAGGCAGTCACTGTTTTATTTTTCGATGATCACATGTAAAGTATGACTGCTAAAGTCACCAGACATAGGTATTTTCTTAGATAATTTTACTTTTTACCAATTGTATCTACCAATGTAGATATCATAACTATTGTACATGACTCTTCAAATTCTATTTTATTCTAGAGTTCAAAATCATTTTCCTTTCATGTTTCTCCCAAAGAGATAGTTCATAAACATAATACTGTAAAACTCTACTAAAAAGATAATCAATAAATATTAACAAACTTCAAAAACTTAGTGAAGATGGAAAATATATATATAAATATAAAAAATACTATGCATCCTACTACGTGCCTCAGATTTGGTTAAAAAATATTAAGAAGCAATATAGCTGCCTCATCTTAATTTATGGTACAGTAACTGTCAGTCAAATTTAAATTGGTCAAAACATTTTACACAGAAGAGTCAATATACATACACAAGTTGCCTCACAAAACAGAATGAACTTGATCAACTATACTTATACCCACTGAAGCAAAATCTAATGGGGAATAAATATGTCAACTACTTCACAGCTGACTGGGTAGTCAATATTAGATAGCAAAAACCACACTTACAAAAGCTCCATTTTCTGAAGCTCTGACACTGCCAAAAATGTATTTCAGTACTAGGGAAAAAAGAAGTACTTACGAGTAGCTGGTCAGTTTATCTAAATTATTGTGCATATTAAATGCATACACTTCTCCTAAATGAAAGAGCTTCTCCAAAGCTTCGTAGATGAAAATGATGCAAATGAGAGCTGCAAAAGCCTCTTCTGTAAATCGAGTAATGTAACACACAAGGCTGCTTGCATCTGTTGCAACCAAAACAATGCACAAAAAAGAAGTCCACAGACCAATACTGGTTCTTAAAGACAGATAGGAAAGGTCATAATCTCTGTTTAGAAATAAAAATGTGGACATGATCAATATATGCATGTGAACAGTAATCAGATCTAAAATTATTTACATCAAGCAATAAAAAAATGTTTAATTCCTAAAAAAAGGGTGAATTACAGAATGATATAAAATTGACTAATCTCTATGTAATTTTCTCCTTCAATTGATGACTTGCTGGTTATTATATTAACATAAAAGATTTACAGTGAAAATCTTCTAGGTAATAAATATTTCAGAATCATTAGACTTCACATTAGAAATCAGTTATGAGGAGCAAATGACAGATTAAAAAACAACCATATCTCACTCTTTGAAGATACAAAAAAGCTATGTCTATTTGGTAAAAAGATTCCCTTGGTCCAGTATCTTGCCAATACCACCACCACTTCCCTCCCACCATTATCACCACAGTAAAATGACTCCTAATTTTAAATTTCCAATATGAAATTATTAACAGGCTGTATACCTCTGGTCATTTCATTCTCTATTAATCCATAATCCATGTGGCATGACAGATTAGACTCAGTATCAGCTTATTTACTGAGCAAAGAATGAGAACCAAAACAATGAAGTATGTAAATGCCATCATCAAGTTGTTTCAGGCTAAAATATTCAGCTACATTGTAGTGAATAAAGGAACAGCCCTGGCCATGTCACATTCAAAACCTACTAGCTACAGAACCCTGTATTTATTTTCTGACTGCTTCACTCCCCTGGTCCTATATGTGAAACAGGACTCACTGCCATAGTCAGTTGCAGCCTTTGAGAGCCAACTCTTTCTGAATCCCCACATAAGACCAACATTCGATCTAACAAATAGTTGAGATAAACAACTTCTTACTAAGACAAAGAATTTCTGATTCTTAAGTAATCTGCTTATCAACTCAAATTCATTAATTTTATAAAAAAAGGACAATCTTATTTTCTGTATTTCCAAATTACTGAGATAGGGATGGTGGGCCTTGGTAAGGATGCTGGTAGGATCAACCACAATTGCTCTCAAATAACTGAAATATACATACTAATCACATCATTCCAACTGTAATACATATAAAATGAACTTTAAATTAATAATATAATATACAGTTACACAAATACGTAAACATGTGATGAGCAGAGAACTTACCTGCAGAATTTAAATAAAATTTTTTCAAACACTAAAACTGGACCTGTGCTCCCCAGTATTGTTAGAGGTTGCCCAGCAAACAATGAATAGGCAATCCCAGTTAACGATGCTCCAAAGAGAGACTCTATTGCACTCTGTTCAAGGAGAAAAGAAATGGATAGAAGCAATGCATCATAAACTCTCTCTAACCTACTCCATATTAAATGTTAGGTCATCTAGAACATAAAAATACTAACAAAGTGGGTATAAAGCAAACAACTTTAAGTCTTGAATTTAAATTTTAAACTGGAAAATGGCAAACACAATTTAAATACAAAGAGAAAACTGTTTTCTTTTTACATATTTAAGTGAAACTTTCTGCAATCACCCTTAATTCAAAACTCAATACTGTGAGATACAAGTTGCAAAAAGTACATGGGAGAAACACATACAGGGCTTCAACTTTACATATGGATATATTATTTTTTAAGTCTGTGGCACATAAAAATGGTTATGCATTACTTTTAACATTTCTGTATGCTTTAACAAGTTTATTTAAAAGCAAAAATACTTATTAAATACTTAAATGGTGCTACAAAATAAAATCTTTGAACAAAGCATAAGTTAATTAATATGTGACTCTTTTTCCTGTTTTGTTGTCTTTTGCTTTTTTTTTTTTTTTTTTTTTTTTTTTTCTTTTGAGACAAGATCTCACTACATAGTGCAGGCTGGCCATGAGCTCACTGTGTAACCCAGACTTGCCTCAAACTCACAACAATCTTCCTGTCTCCACCTCCCAAGTGCTGGGATCACAAGTATGCACCACCACACCAACTGACCCTTATCTTTTTCAAGCTGATTTTTAAAGAGTAACTTTTCATATATGGTAAAGCAATTCATCTGATAGGCTTAATTAATTTCTATCAAAAAATGAAATACTTAACATAAAATATATAGAAAAAATCTAAAAATTCACAGCAACTATAAACGAGGAAATATTTTATCATTAATACTGGGAGGAAAAAAAGGGGAGAGAAAGGTAAAAAGGAAAATGAAAGGTTCAGATAAATTTTAAACCATACCTAGCAGAGGACTAGGTTTTGACATAGTAAAGTGTACTGATACACTATGCCACTAGACAAAAGGTGGATCAGAAAAAGTTTGCTAGTCACAATTGGAGTGTACCACCCAGAAAGGAAAAGCCCATCACTGGTAAAGGCAAGAAAAAAAGTGGTTTAAAAAAACCACTTCTAAAACAAGAGGCAGGACAGCAGCAGTAGAAGAGCACGGCTTCAAAACCAGACACAGAGTGGAGGACTGGCTAACACTGGGTGCTGGCCCTGACCGTTCAAACCCACACGCTGCACCATTAAGTGGGGCTAATGATGGAAGAGAGCTTTAGTGTTCATGAAGACACCTAACAAGCAAAGTTTTGCAAACAGAACATAATACATGGCAGTAATTCTTATGAACTGTAACAGCATTTTTCAAAATCAGAATCACCAAATAATAGCAGACAATAAAAGTAAAACTTGACTATTAAGGTAAAAACAGGAGTAACTCCACATACAAAACTGTCTTGGCAACATGAAGGAAAAGCATCCATATCAATCACACATTTGTTCATGGCATGCAATAGATTTGTTTTCCTGCCTGTAGGAATATAAATTTGTGCTAAAAGACACAAGTAAGCTACCACAGATTCCTTGGTCCTATTAGAATATAATATTTAGGAAGAGATCTAGATCAGTGCTTAAGTTAAAAAAATATGTATGTAAATGATATCCAGCGAAAGAGAGAAAAAGAGTAAGGACAGCACAATGTTAACAAGCACAGATGAGCATAAAATTAAGGTTCTCCTCAGGATTAAAAAGCAGACACTGACAGATGAAACCTCTGCTTTCATTTTATCCCTACAGCTTATTTACAGAAATAGAACTTTCCCTTACCAGACCTACCTTTTTGAGTTTTAAACTGTATTTGTTCAGAGACTGAAATCTCCTTCCCTAAAGAAGTAGTACCTCCCATTATCCTGCCTTCCCTACTTCATTTCAAATTTCCAAGTTTCCACTCTACCCATTCATTGTGCCTGCCTCCTTTTCACCTCCACTCCCACAGTGCCGCTCCACCTGCTGCTGTACCAAGTTACTAGTTCTTCCTCCTCAAAACCATTAGTGCAGTTTTTGCAAAATTATGATGCTCTCATTCAACTAACATCTGATGATAAATGAGCCTGACTGGCTGGGCCATCTTCCTCTTCCATTCCATTCTGTTCTCTTCCTTTCCATAATTTTTTACTCCTCTCTAAATATCTTTCTAGCCACATCTATTTTTAGTTTCGACCCTCATGCACAGTGACCTCATCACTATGACTCTGAAACTGCACTTCCTAATATATCCATTTCTGCTTGAAATTCTAACACAGCAACTGAAAAACAAAAATATCCTCTTATTATTTTCCTCCATGACACTCCCACTCTCTCTACTTCTGCTCCTCAGCTCCCGCCCACGCTCTACCTTTACCTCACTCATGTATCCCAGTGCACAGTGCACAGGAACTGTGTGTTTCCCCTTTCTCTGCAGGGAGGATCACTGAGGCAAGGACACACATTCACCTTACATCTGTCTGTCCTCCTCCTCTCCTAACATACTACTACACGCACACAGTGTGAACAGTAGAAGGAGACGAGCAGGCAGGGACAGTCCATGAGCAAGCAAAGCAGCAGGTATTTCCCTGATGGGAACAGAACACACTTCCACAGGGACCAGCAGAGTTACAAGTACAATTTGTGACAGCATATAAAGTACCTTACTAAGAATATACACATTTGATACAACAGTTAAAAAAAAACATAAAACAATCTAATCAAATATAAAGAGCTTAAAGAAAATTTCAATTGTCTGTTTTATTTCATGTTTGGAGCATAAAACACCTTAATTGAATAAATATCACTTAGCTGTGACTAATTTTTATCCTTTGTTTAGAAAAATACAGATTTTTCAAGTACCAAATTTAATACTGTTAAATATTAATACAATATACTAAAGAATTATAAACCATCTCTTTAAAAGCCACAAAAAAATAAAGACCTCCTCAAAAAGAAAAAAACCTTTCCAGATTTTACAAAGCACCATAATCCCTAATACAGTAGTTTCAAGTACAGAAAAACTAAACTTTCTTTCTAGGCATATTTAAAAATGCAGGCAACTTTCAGTTATATTTTTCAAAATAAAACCTTTGGCTATTTTTACACAGATTTAATATAGGCAAAATAGAAAACTGTGTACTTAAAAAATCTATCATCTCTACAAGTTCTATCCTTCCAAATATCTAGTCAGCTCTACCCACCAAGGCTGATGAGTTCATATTAACCATACAACTAACTAATCCTAGGGTACCTTCAGGATGAAGGCACACTCTCCCACCCCATGACCCACCCCCAGGATCAGTTCCATTGGTTTCTCCCAAAATCCACCCCCTCCCAGTAGACAATGCAAGCCTTTTACTCAGTTTATAAAACCATTCCATCCAGCAAGGCAGGATAAACTTCTTTTTCCTTTCTTTTTTTACCTCAACTGTGCATCTTCTCCTGTTCATATGGCTTCCCCATGTTTTCCACAGCAATTACCTTGGGGGAAGTCTGGCTTGGGACAGGTTTGGGTAGACTCTTCAAATAAAAGTATGAATAGTGAGACAAATGCACACAGACACTTGCCTCTGAAGAGCTAAGAGCCTGGCCACTACCAATCTTTGTACTCACTATTCTGCCTTCTGTAGCTTCTCCAAGCAGCCCTCCAAAAGTGATTACAGGAGACATACAGGCACAGTATAGGAAAAGAATCGAGGCCAGGCACTGCAGGCTTAATGCATCCTTGAAGTCACTCAAGAAAAAAGGTGCTTTCCTTTTGATGTCAAGTATCAAACCACCAAAAAGCCTAAATAGGTGAGATGAAACTCGTCAAACTGTACACTAGAGGATTCTAACTAGTTCAAACTAAAACTATGGGCTACATAAAACTGCTGGTGCCTAGTGTTCTGTCAACAAAAATTAAAAATCCAATGCAAATCATGGTGTAAATTTTAGAAGATACATTCATTTAATCTAATCTATTGGTGATAGATAAAAGATTTCATTAAGTTAAAAAGAGACATACACATTATTTTACAGACTATAACTTGAAAAGACTGCAGGCAAATGATTTTATATACATGCGTAAGTGTAACTTTGGCCACAAATGTACAAAGAAACATATAATAAATGAAACTTAATTATTCATGAAAATGCATAGTAATTCTATTAATTACTGTTTATATTATAAATCTTAACAATAACTAGCAGATATATCAAGAAGATAACTATAACTCCTATAATAGCAATGCAGTGTGCTGCACAAAAGCAGTTAATTAAATGACTATAATATCTCTAAAAATTAGTGCTTTAATTGTATGAATATTTCTGCCTAGGAAAAAGAAAAACCTTAAAATGATTTCAGTACTTTTAGTCTATTATATATGTAGTCAAACCTGTATATATATATATCAATAAAACTAAGAAGTTTTAATGAGATTATGAACCTGAAATAAAACATCAAAACCATACCACTTCAAATTTTTAAAATCTTATCTTTGGATACATTAATCTGAAAATATTACAGTAAGACATAAAGTCCATGAAAGGAAGAGACTTTTCTTTCTCATGGCCAAATCTCCAGTGTGTAAACAATGCCTGAGGCATAGTAGGTACTAGATTGAACTGTTAATTCAAACTATAGGTTAAAAAAAACCTGATTCATAAAACAGGTAATCATTCCAGTACCAACTACAAGACAACGGATAAAAAAGTTAACTATAGACTTACAAAAGCTTTGGATGTTTCAAGCTTTATTATTCTAAACTTTTAAAAATCAATACAAATCCTAAACATACACTGACAAGTGAAAGTTCCTCTATAAACAAACTGACAGGGGAATAGCTTCCAATGCCAATGAGTATCTAGAAAATGAATCTGTATCATCAAATCAATAATTGATTATTTAACAGATGGCTCACAGAGCCTCTCAGGTGACTGTGAAGTCAATGGGTGTCTACTTTGGGGCTCGACTAACACTATTTGTATTTGAAGATCAAAGAAACAGTAACTATGGAGACCAGCACTCTGTGTACAGGCATGAAGCTTTATTCTCTCATATTCATACAAACTAAAACATTTCATTAGTCAGTTAACTCACTGTGACTTGAGCTTTTTCAAAGTTAATATTCACTATGCTGGTTATTTTTTCTTATAACATAGTAACCTTTGAGGCATATCAGCAAAGTCCTTAATAATGTGTCTGGGTAAAATATCCTAATTTTATCAAAGATTTAAGATTCAAATTCTTTTAATTCCACACTGAACACACAGGTCAATAGCCATACGCTTTGCTATAGCATGAAAATATCATGACATTTACCTACCTCTACAAAGTATTTTAAAACGTTTATACTGGCAATATTTCTGTTCTTTACTCCAAAAGTTAATTTTTTTAATATGCTAAAAAGGTTTCCAGAACTCATTACTGGGATATCATGTTTGTTCATCTACTTGTACATCATCTCATAATGTAATGTTCATTTAAAGAGTTTTAAATCTATACATTAACACATAAAAATAGTTTATCCCATAATTCTGTAACTTGATATGGAAAACTGTAAAATGACACTACAATTCTTTAAAGAACCTTCTATAGAGGCAATGGAAATTCACCTATATATTATATAACTGTATTTCTGAACACATGGTCCATTATTTTAAGTTTGGTACATGCTATTAAAATTTATTTTTAAATGCATAAGCATTTTCCCTAACATCACATACTTTTCTTAGTAACACCTATTTTTTAAAAACATGATACAAACACTACACAAGATTAGGTTCCAAACTCTAGGAAAGAAAAAAATGTTCCCTTTTTATCCGATCGACCCCTAATCCCAGAAAGATATCTGCATTGATACCCACCGTCCAGTCCTCTGCAGCTCAGGCCCAGCATGATGAGCGGCCTCCTTAGGAACCTCACCAGGCAAAGGGGCAGACCCATTGGGAAATACTGGAATCTTTCTCTTTTCCTATTTCATAAAAAAAACACTTTTAAAATTCTCTTTTTTAAAAAAGTGAGATGGCATCTTGATTTAAAGGAACATCAGATCTTACATGGTTTATATATCTAATCAGTACACTGAGAAAAAAAAATGTTTCCTAATGTAAACTTTTTTTTTTTTTTTTTTTTTTTTTGTCTTTTTCCTTTTTATCGGTACTGGGGATCGAACTCACGACTGCCTGCTTGCAAGGCAGGCGCTTATGCCACTGAGCTAAATCCCCAGCCCTATAAACTTTTTAAAATAAATTGTACTTGTGAACCTAGAATGCTTTTATTCATATTTCAATTATATGTCTAGCCTTCTGCATTTCAAATTGTAACATCAAGATACTGTAAATCATATTCATACATATCATTTCAAATTAACATTCAGCACTATTTACAAATATACACATTTTCCAAAAAATATAACTCAAATTTGTAAAAATATTGTTCATGTTAACCATTGAAAAACACACGCATATTAATTTCAAAGATGCTATTTTTTTCTTTGATTAAACTATATCTCTTTAAAAATAATTCGTTTATAATTTTCCATTATATTTTAGTTAAAATTCAAGAGTACCATTTCCATGATACAGGATCCCTCAGATGAAGACAAATGAATAAGCTTTCAACTGGTTATCACAAGAAGTAACCAAGGAAAACAGAGTGTGTGTGTGTGTGTGTGTGTGTGTGTGTGTGTGTCTGCATGTGCGCACGCGCGCATGTACATGCACATGTAAGATGAAGCAAAATCAGAAAAGGAGGAGACAAAAAAACAGAGATGTGTGATCCAGAAGGTCCCTGAAGTCTAAGGCCCTGGCTGCAGCACAGATTAGATTTATATACTCTGGGTTACAAAACATTTACAGACTAGCAAAAGCCATCCCTAGGATTACCATCTGAAACTGTTAAAACCAAAACTAATTTAGATATTAGATCAAAGGGAAAAGAAAAACCAATTGTACAGAATTTGTGGAAAACAATTAAAAATGTCACTTCATTATCTATGAGATAAAGTTAAAACATCACACAAAAATCCCTCCAAAACAAGCATTTATATTAAGAAAAACTTAAAAAGACAAAAAAGTAAAAACAAAAAATCTTCCCTAAAGGTAACTAGAAGAAATCAAATGATAAGTGAACAACAGGAAATGAGGTAAAATAAATAAACAAACAGAAACACGATTTTAAAGAAAGAAATTTGAAATACATTTTAAAAGCTGGCCTGTTTGAAACAGATAGTACATGATTAGTCCATGAGCAAATAAGATACAGTAAGAAGATAACCTCACAAAATGCAGAGATGCACAAAACTTGAATACCAGAAAATATAATTTACCAAAACTGATCTCACAAAAACTAAAATTTACACAAATCAATATTCGTAAAACGAATAAGCAAATTGTGAAGTGTACCATAGGACAAAAGATGAAAGCTCAAAACATATTACAAAAGGATTTTTCCAAATTTTTGAAGCCTAATAATTCCACACTATTTCAGCTGTGAAATATCAGGAAAAGGGAACTTAGAAATTCTCTTCTACAAAACATGTACAATGATGATACTAACACATGATGGCACAGAAATCTACAGACAAAATTACTTACAAATGATGCAAAAAACTTAAAATAGCAGACAGACCTCCACGTCCAAGCTGAATTAACTCTAAGAATGCAGCATTCCACATTTTAGAGCAGTTATCAAAATAAGTGATAAACACAGGAAAGTATTTTATAAAATTCATATCCATCTACATTAAAAATGTCAGAAAAAAGACAGCATTTACCACGATAAAATGTGTGTTTTGGCCCACGCATCATATGTTTCTTAACAGGAGAAATACTACAGACATTGATGCCCAGGTAAGGCCCCTGCTGGCTGGCTCTGCAGCTCAGCGGCAGGGCGCTCGCCTGACCTGTGCACTCTTAGCTTCGCACCATCGCATCAGCACTGGGGTAAATCGCTCACTGCCTCTTAATGCTGTAACAGACTGTAGTTAATCAGATAACAGAAAAATGCTAGAGGTATGAAATTTGGAAAAGGAGGGATAAAACTGTCTCTTATAACAAGTGACATGACTGAAAACTACACACAATAAAAGATGACGGCAAGACAAAAATACATATGACAGAGCATACATATAATATACAATTATATTACCATGATATATATTCTATATGCAATGGGCAAGAAAATGAAACCAAGACCTCATCCGTAATTCAACAACAAAAAAAGCAAGTACTTACAAATACACTCAACAGGGTGTATGTAAGTACACTGTAGGTCAGGCAACATTTGGGGGGATTAGTACACGTGTCATACAAAATAACTGCATATATTGTTGGGAAGTTTGAACATGCACATAACACAACAAAATGTTTTTTTCATCTCCTTTCCCTCCTATTCCTTCCTGCTTTCTTCAACTCTAATTCCTCTTCCTATTTTCAAAAGCTATTTGTTTTTTTAATTCTTTTCATCCTTTTTCCCTTCCCTCTTTGCCCATCCCTGCATCTCTTGTCCCCTTTCCTGTTTGAAAAAGAGCTCCTTACTTCCTTTTATTTTATTCTTTATATTTTGGGCTTCTCATAGAAGAGAAACTACATAATATTTAAGCTTTGCATGTCTGATTTATTTCACTTAACATTATGGTCGAGAGAAGCATCCATTTATCTACAGATGCCTCTTTTGTCATTCTTTATGACAGAGTAGCACTCTACTGTACCACGTTTTCTTTATCCATTCATCTGTTGATGGGCAAAAAAGCAGATTCCGAGATTTAGTTATTACAAATTGTGCTGCTATACACATGGGCATGTATGTTACCAGTGTAACATGTTGACTTTAACCCTTTTGGGAAGATACCTGGAAGGGGAAACAGCTGGGTCAAATGAAATCACTAATTTTAGTTTTCTGAGGAATCTCCATACTCATCTCCAGTGTGAGTGTCCTAGTTTACATTCCCACCAATAATGTGGAAAGGTTCCTTACAGTCTTGGCAGTTTTTGCTATTCATTGATTTCTTGATAATAGCCATTCTTTCTGGAGTGAGATGGTACCTCAGTGTTGTTTAATTTGCATTTCTCTACTGGCCAGTGACAGTGACGTTAAACTTTTTTTATGTATTAACTGGCCAGTTATACTTCTGAGAAATGTCTGCTCTTTTCAGGTGACCATTTTTTGACTGGGCCTTTTCATTTTGGGCGATTTAATTATTTTGAGTTCTATAAATATTAGTCCTCTGTCTGAGGAATAGCTAGCAAAATTTTATTCCCATTCTGTTGTCTCTTCACTCTGCTAGTTGTTTCTTTTGCTGTGCAGAAGCTTTCTAATTTGATACACTCCATTTGTTGATTCTCAGTGTTATTTCTTGTGTCATTGGGGTTTGGTTCATAAAGTCCTTGCCTATACCTATGTTTTCAAGTGTTTTACTTATTTTATATTCCAGCACATGAAGTGATTGTCTTAACACTTAGATCTCTGACCCATTTTTATTTTAGTTTAATGCATGGTGAGATATATGGATCTAGACTCTATCTTCTTCATGTAAATATTCAATTTTCCCAACACCATTTATTAAAGAGGCCATCTTTCTTCCAATGTGTGTTTTTGTTTTGCCTTTTTGAGACAGGGTCTCATGCAGTTCAGGCTGGCCTTTGGGCTTACTTTGTGGTCCAGGCTGATCTCAAACTTTCAACAATCGTCCTGCCTCAGCCTCCCAAGTGCTGGGATAATATGCCTGGTTAGCGAGTATTTTGGCCTCTTGGTCAAAGATCAAATAGCTGAATTCATGTCTCAGGTTGCTTCTGCTTCCTCTACCCACCCACATGTCTGTTTCTGTACCAGTACCATGCTGTTTCTATCACTGTAGCTTTGTGTTAAAATTTTGTAAGCTGAAACATGGAATTTAAAAATTTTTCCTAAATGACACAAAACCCAACTTGAAAAACAAAACAAACAAACAAAAAAAAAAAAAATGGGGAGAGACATACCATGTTCTTGAAAAGATAGATTCAATGTCAAAGATGTTGATTCTCCCTCAGTTCATTGAGAAATTTAACTATTATCACAACTGTTTTCTTAAACCAGGAGGTTTTATTTCTGGAAATAGAAAGCTAATTTTACATAGAAAAATAAATATGCAGAGAAAGCCAAGAAAAATATGAAAGGAAAAAGTCTAGATTTATCAAATATTAAAATATACTTATCAGATATTAAAAAATCCCAAAACAAACAATACAGAATTTATTCATTAACAGAATGAAAAAAATCCAAAAACAAGCACAAACGCAGATGAAATTTAGTTAAAGTGAAGGCAGCATCGCCAATCAAGGCACGCATATCTGGGCATGACGGTGCACACCTACAGTCCTAGCACTCAGGAAGCTGAAGCACTGAAGATACAAGGCCTGTCTGGACTACACTGAGGCCCCCACCTCAAAAGAAAACAAACCAAAAGGGAAGAGAAAGGGGCAGTGCTCACTTTTTAATGCATTAGGACAAGCAGACAATTAAGAAAAAAGAAAAAATTGGATGCATAACAGCACATAATACACTATGATAAATTCCAAAGAATCAGAGAATGACTTAAATGGTTAAAAATAAAGGAAGAGGGAGAAGGGGTAATGAACACAAGACAATCAGGAATATTTAACTTCACTAATTACCATGCATTAAAATCCAATTAAAATATATTATGTATCAAAAAAAAAAAAAACCACCAAACTGGGGATTTAGCTCAGCAGCATAAGTGCCTGCTTTGCAAGCACACAGTTGTGAGTTCAATTCCCAGTACCAAAAAAAAAAAAAAAAAAAAAAAAAAAAAAAAATATATATATATATATATATATATATATAATGTATCAAGATAACACCAATCAGATTGAAAAATATTTGAAAGTTTAGTAACACATCATGTTAATGAAAATGTAGTGACACAGACATCAGTGTGGGAGTCCAAAACAGTTCAGACATAGAAGCGATTGGGTAATATCTACTTAACTGATGATTGCCCCTTTGAACCAGCAATCTGATATTTGAAGTTGTAGCCTATAGATAAATCTGTACAAAACTGAAATGGCGTATGAGTACAGTGGTACAGTTTTCAGTAACAAATGCCTAAAAATAGCCAGGGCCCAGGGACAAAATAAACAATGGTATATGTCTATAAATGGAATACAACACAGCAGTGGTAAAAAGAATAAAGAATACTTCCATGATTTCTTATAAACAGGTCTCTAGGATATTTTGTTGTACAGAGTAAGTATCCCTTGTCTAAAACATTAGGACTAGAAATGTTGAGATTTCAAAGTTTTTCAGATATTAGTGTATTTGTATATATTTCATTGGTTGAGCATGCTTAATATGGAAATGCAATCTGAAACTTTTTGAGCAATATGTCAGTATTCAGTATAAGGAACATTATATCAGAAAAGTATTCAAAAGGAGGGGTACTGAACAAAAGACAATCAAGAATATTCAACTTCACTAATTAGAGTGCATTAAAATCCAATTAAAATATATGATGTATCAAGATAACACCAATCAGATTGAAAAATATGTTACAATATTCAAATTCAAAAGTATTCAAAAAGTTATACATTTCAGGCTGTTCTGAATTTCAAGCTACAGATGCTCAATTTGTATGGAAGAAAAGCAAGATACAAAGTAATATATATATATAACATGGTAAGTTCTGGAAAGAAAGGGAGAAACATGGCTGTATTACATGAACTGAATGAAACCAGAATAATAAACAAAACCTACATACCGTCCCATAGGTGGTAGGTAAAAGAGAAAGATGTTTAAAATGCCAGGTAAAGATGCGACAGCTCAAAATATACCTCTTTGAATGGTTTTTGTATTTATATTTTTCATGGTGCTAAGGATCAATTCCAGGGCTTCATACATGGTAGGCACACTCCCCAGCACAGAACTACACTGCCCAGTCAACAGTTCTGGTTTCTGAATCTTAAAAATACATAACCTAAAATTTTAATTTAAAATGTTTTAATTAAAGTACTTTACAGAAAGGCTCTGGTTCTTACCTGAGAAGGGACACTTTTTGGTGGCTCTATGCGGATGGAAGGGTCCCACTCGCCCGGAGGCAGGACAGTTACTTGATCTAAAAATTCATCAATTCCAGATAAAAGGTCATTTCTGTCTTTTGCTTTATAAGCTACATCATGAAAAATCTAAAGAAAAAAACATTGAGATAAAGATTTTAAGGATAAAAGAAAATTCTACACTTGGTATATCCATTTTAAGCATCATTCACAATAAAGATAATTACCTAAACTCATACCTCAGGCAGACACTACTACTCCGTCCTGACTATAAACTGTAAAAGGAAAGGTAACCTACTCTTAGTGTGATCAGATAAGCTAACAGTGACAAACAAAATACTGATGTGTAAAGCCAGAACAATTAAGAAATATTTTTGTTGAGAAAATATTTGATTATTCATTATGAAATCCAATACTGTGGCATGTAATACTACTCTTATGACACTTAAATATTATTTACCCTAAGGGAATAATAAGTATAGGGATGTACACACTATTTAATAAAAATATTTGCTGGTTATCTACTATTTGCTAGGAATAATTCTAAGCACTATAGACGAAGAAACAGAGACAAGGTGAATTCCTTGTACTTGAGAATCTTTTCAAGTTGTGTGTGGTGAGCTACTTTTGTGACCCCAGTCCACTGGGAGGCTGAGGTAGGAAGATCTCAAGTTTGAACACAGCCTGGGAAATTCAATGACTTAGCAAGATTGTTACGAAATAAAAACTTTTTTTAAAAAACGGCACAAGTGTAGTTCAGTATAAGAGCCTCAGGATCAATCCTAAGTATCACTACCAAAAAAATAATGGTTAAAGTAAACATATTTTTTTAGCAGGGCAAAAGATAGTAAAACAAGGTAATTAAATAAACATGTAACTGCAGACAATGACAAATGGTCTAATGAAAAAGAAAACAGAAAGGAAAGCTGATGGAGAAAAATGTTTGAAGGATGAACAAGCAATAAAATAGCATTGACATCAGTGATAATTTTTAGGCTTCACTGTGAAAGACAGGAGCACTGTAATTTAATCTTGTACTCATTATATCAAGGAGACTTCATTTACCTCATCTGTCATGAGGGTGGCTATAGATCTGCCAATTTCATGATACTGTGGTGCCTTGCCTGCTGGGCCCAGCAGCAGAAACAAAAACCTAAGGGGAGAGCACATACACGGATTTAAAAATAAAGATCTAGGCAGTCATTTTTAAAAATTTGTTGCACTGTAAGCACAGAAACACTGCTCAGACCCCTTGCTCAATCCCTGGAGGAATCACCGAAACATCAGCAAGCAGTCTCCCCGTCACTACAGCACTGAAATTAATTTCCTACTCTGTTACCACTTCATAACTTCCTTAGGGCAAAACAGTAATTAAAGTATTTTTCATTAAAAATTCTCATCTTCTATAACTTTTTGTATGAAACAATACAGTCTGAATAGATGACATTATCTGTAAATAAAAGATAGCAAACCCATTAAGTACCTGAAAGTAAACAAAATTAAGTAAGAGTACATATGCACAATATGTGCTCACTCAGTGATGATACAATTGCCCAGCTTACACCACCAAAACTAAAAAAGTCTATACAAAAAAATCTACAATTCCTCAGACTACAGTTCTGTGTAAAAATTCTCAACATGCAGACATGAGATTTTAGTCAACTAATTCTGGAAAGAAGAGGAATTTTTATTTATGATGCCAAATTGAACATAAAAGCTTTCATTATTCTAGCAACTATAAAAAAAGTATTAATTTCCTCCATGATTATATCCCTGTTTGCACTACAGTAAAGAATTAATATTCACATGCATGCCAGATATAATGGCACTCAGGTGGCTGAGGCAAGAGGATCTCCATGAATGAGTTCAAGACCATGCTGAATTACATAGTGTGACCCTGCCTGGAGGGGAAAAAAAAACACCACATTCATCCTAAGTACAGTGTTACAGATTATATATGAATGCACGTAATTATTTTTTCTCACATCAACACTGCATCATTAATGGAAACTTAGCAAACGTAAAGCATATTAAAAATAAGTACTGTATATTCCCATCACCTCCTTTTATTCTTTGTACATATAAAATACTTTAAAAATAAGTCACATTGACAATTAACATTCCAAAGCTAGTAAACTAGACTGTCCTTTGTATGGCTAACAAACTGGTAACTCTTTATAAGACAATTCTTATGGATATTACCCTTGTCTTAACTTTTAATTTGTAACGTATAACAACCCAAAAATTTTATCAGACCCAAACAGAGGTTTGGGTCTACCTCAAAGGCATTACTACATTTAATCAACCTTATAAAATACCTTCATTTTACAAGTAAAACTTAGAAAATTTAAGTCAGACTTGAGCCCGTCCCATAAAAAGTTAAACGGCAGATTCAGCTCTATTCTTTGACTCCATTGCTTGCATGTAACATTAGATAAATATGGAAAATGCAAACCAAATCTACTAACATAGCTCAGTTCTACAGTACCTGTTTGGTACACACTACTAAGATACCAAACTGCTTATAAAGGTACAAGGGAAATTTTTTCCTAAAAGAATTTTTATTTTATTTCCTAACTTTGAAGAAAAGCTAAGTCTAATACTCAAAACATGCTGGTGCAATGACCAATACTAACAATGAAAAAGAGCTTTTTGTCATAAAGCAAGGTATTTGTTCTTCTGGTGGATAAAAACGTTTGACCATGCTGAGAAAACATGAACTGGAACTAACTTTTACCTGGTAGGAACAGGGACCTCGGTCAGCCCTGAGAGGAGGACAGCAGGTGCCAGTCTGACGAACGCAATTATAGGTCTTTCCAGAAAGTCCACTTCTCCCACCAGAACATTGGATGCCTCGGCTCCCGTAGGAATCTTCCTCATGAAATTCATGTCAACCTATTGACAAAGAAATAATTAACAAACAAGTCCTCACGGTACTTGCAAAACTGTTTGGAAGGAAACAGAAAGAAAAGGAATACTTTTACAGACTATCTGCTATGTGAATCTTGATCTAAAAAAATTGAAAATTTCTACAAGTATAAAGAATGAAATAGACAAATACAATAAAGCAAGCAAAATATTTATCAGTACTACTATTGAAACTGTCACAATTTTTACTACTTCAGAGATTTAAACTACCAGGCATAAAACACGAAATTTTTCAATGAATATAGCATTATTCATTAAAAACCATTAAGGACATACAGTTCACAAACTAAAAAGGATTCATGAAATTATACACAGTGCTAAAATATATTCATAATTTTCTGTGGTTTAATTTTAGAAATGAGTAAGTCCCTTTTATATGTTTATAAGTCTCTCTTTAAAAATTCTAATGCCCCCTAGTGTTTTCATTAAGTAGAAAAAGTATTATTTACAGCTGAAATCTACAGCCCTTCTTGGTTCAGATCTATGATAATGCCATAAGTGAAATTTAGTTGCCTGTGTATAATTACAAGGAAAAGGTTACAAACATGATAATAAATTATGTCAACTTCTTCATTTATTCAGTCCCACACAAGTCACTAAACAGTCACTTACGGGCTAGCTACTAAAAACAAAAGCAGCACTTACAGCAGGCCTCGTGAGTCCCACACCCAGTGTGCCACAACTACAGTGCCAGGAGGCAGACTCCTGCCCGACAGGAGACAAAGAGGTGGACACAGGAGAGGCCAAGTAAAAAAAAAGGCAAACTGTCACAGAGGAACAAAAATAAATAGCAACCGCCATGTCTAGAGGCAATCTGTACTGTAAATTACATTGACTTACACATTTAACAGAATAAATCACAATGAAAACTCCATTTTACTGTAAATAACAGCGTATCAGTAATAGTGTAAGGAGAAATACTCTGTAACAGCCTTTCCACATAACCAAAATCCCTACTGGAATGCTTTCTATAATTTTAGGGTGTGAGGTTCAGTAAAACTGTAATGCAAGCCATTAAAATTCTTTGATATGTGACTTGAAAGCCTCACATGACAGAATAAAAAGCTAAAGGATTATAAACAGAACCTTGCTTGACATATCATAGTTAACAAGAGCCTTATACTGGATGCAAAACTATTTAGGTATCATCCTGCAACAAAGTAATATTATAAAAAGAGAACAATAACTGCATGTAATCAATTGTTCTTAAGTATTCAAAATGTATATTTGTAATTCTTTTGTAATTTAAGCTGGGTTTTGCCCTGCTTTGTTAAGGTAAATTTTTTTTTCCTATTTCAACTAAACTATTCGTTTAATGAATAAAAAATTATATACTGACATAGTTTCTTAATGCCATGCCTTTACCTATCGATACACCAATACATTTCCCATTGGCATTCCAGAAAGTACTAACACCTTATGACAGTAATTCTGGGATCACTCTACAGCCCAGGGAAGGCTGATCCACTAGTGCAGTAACATCATTCCCAGAATTGACCTTTCTAGTGGTGGTAGCTCCAGAACAAATGACTGTATTTCAAAAGGTACCAAAATTTCATGATATCTATGGGTAAGTACAGATAAGAACACCGTATTATTAACATAACCTTTTTTTTTTTCAGGATTGCTAAAGCTATAAGCATATAGTTTCACAAATTCTTAGAAGTACTCTCTCACAACATATTACAAATATCACATGCAGAAATGTAAATAGCATTCTACTAAAAAATTATTATAATCCCTGTTGCTGATGCCACAAATTGTAATTTCTCAGTAATGATTATGAAATGAAATAAAAATAGTTAATGGCTAATTACCTTGCTGAAATCAACGGTACTATTTTCTCTGCTTCCTCCACTTCCATTACCTTTAATTTCTCCACTTTTACTATTGTCCAAGTTTCCAGGAGCAGACTGTGGAGATGCTAAAATACCTGTATTTAAGAAAAGACACAATTCCAAATTAATGAGGAGGTAATTCACTTTGTAGTAACTCTGCTCATATCCTGAAAGTGATAGTTTATTATAAAAGCAAATGTGCAATTAAAAAAAAAAAAAAAGAGTGCCAGGTGTTAGTATCATACCAGCAAAACTAGAAAAACATTTTAAGCAATGATGAAGCTATACATTTTAATATTTAAACTAACTAGAATTTACAGAAACGATAGCTTTTGAAAAATTAAAGTGAGTCAATATGGAACCAGAAAAAAATGGAAGAAAAACCTGAGTCTGATTACCACTGCAAATACAGAATCTACACTGAGCTGAGTGACATCTAGCTACACTTAGTATGGTCACATCAATAACTACACAAATTCCCTAGCAAAAGGTGTAACTCAGAAAAATTAGTTTCGTAAGGCTGAAGTTTTCTTTTATATTTGTAATGTCCTACTGTCATTATTCCTAAGAAATATAATTTTAAAAGATGTGGGTTTGGGGGCTTGTTTTTTGTTGCTGTTGTTTGGTACTGAGGATCAAACTCACGACTTTGTGCTTGCCAGGCAGGCACTCACACCACTGAGCTAAATCCCTGGTCCTAAAAATATATGTTTCACAATGTAAGTGCAAATATTAAAGGTTTTATAATCCAAGAATTTGTTGTATAATTAATTCTCTATCCTATGATTCAGACAAACCTGACTAGCTTGTGTTTTATGATAGTTGTTTGAATCACAATGATAAACACATAATCAAGTATTAGTATATTCAAGTGACATTCAACAATATTTCACAGCAATCACTTAAAAACATGACTTAGTACATGGCCCATGGTCAGCAATACAAATTCTGCAAAAAGTGCGTATCTCAGAAAACTTAAAATTTGCCAGGAATTGGTGCATGCCTATAATCTTAGCCCTCTGAGAGAGGCTGAGGCAGAAAGATCCCAAGTTAAAATACAGCCTGGCAGTTTAGCAAGATCCTGCCTCCAAAAGGGCGGGGGGGGGCAGCTATATAAGCAACTCAGTGCAAAGTCCTTGGGTTCAATCCCCAGTATCCCTAAATAAATAAATAAATTCAAGTACATTTCACACATTTCTACCATTAAACACACATTTTTTCCCCCAAACACCGAAGATTTTCTAAATCAAGAATATAAATCAATTAATAACCAAAATACTGGGTATCAATAGGTATTGAAATGCAACCAGCTTAGTTTTAATTGTGCCACACAATCCAGTGATTCACAGAAATTCAGCTAAAATTTGCCTTGTGGTTGGAGACTACAACCTTTGAAGTTACTATTGGTAATCAAGTTCTAGAATTTTAAGAATATTAGATATACCTGATGCATTTAAGAGTTTTTAGATTTGTAGAACAAATTATAGCTAATGAATACTGAAATTAAGACATCTGGGTTTACTACGTAAAGCAGTTATGAAGGAATCTTAGCCACTTCTCTGTTAATACATAAACTATCATTATGACTTTGAAAATCTGAGTATAAAAACAACTGTTATCGAGCCCTGTGCTCATTCTCTGAACAAATTAAACAGTTCTGAAGTGAAAACTATTTCCTAGGACAAGTCATTTTTCAAAGTGTTTAGTATGAAAAAGTTACTAAGATTTCTCTTTGACTTTTGTCCCTGACCATCTAGAATAACGTCCCTTTCTTGTCTAACTAGGAGAGTGTTCAGCAGAATCTTCCATCTATTCCCACACAAGAAAATCAACAAGAATATCACAAACATACTGGTGACAACTATCATTTAATGTTACTTTCAACTGCTTAACTGTATTCTATCTGTTGGTATACATTCAAAAGAAAATGTAATTCTGTACAGTTTATCAAAATAATCACAGCCACCAGATTTGGGGAAACGGTAAAATCAGAAAGGTGTACAGGAAAGTAAAATATGGCAGGAATGGTTGGATAACACAATATGTATCTCAAAAATACAGCTAGAAAGTATGATTTAAAGTCATTTAGCTAATCTGACCCTTCTTAAAAATTAGCATGGCAGGTGCATGTTGTGTTTTCTACCATTATCCTCTCTTGTGTAGTCCTCCTTCCAAATCTCAGCTACATGAAAGCTATTTTCTTAACCAATAAATCAACTTCCCTGCTCCTATAATGAATTCCTAATGTTCAGAATTAAGTTATCCCCTCAAGATGGTCTTCATCATTAGCACTGATAACTTAGATGACTATTTCTTTGCTTGGGGGAAAAAAAAAAAACAGATGTGTGTGTATGTGTATATATATATTTTTTGTTTTTGGTGCCAGGCATCAAACTCACAGCCTCGCGTTTGCCTCTCTCTCTCTCTCTCTCTCTCTCTCACACACACACACACACACACACACACACACACACACACACACATAAATGAAATCAATGATGGGATTTAAAAATCATATTCAAGTAAACCTATTATTTTACACTTGTGTATTTTTCCTAAACAGCAAGTCTAATTGGATCAAAGATTTCAGTTTTCTGTCATTCAAATGTTGAAAGCGGTAACAATGCTCTCAACCATGGGAGATCACGGTCCTCATACAGTTTGTTTCTAGGACTGGGGAAAGCAAGTGGCAGCTTGTACAGAGACCAGAGATGTTGCTTAAGTATCCTACAAAGTACGGCCCTCTCCCGCCAAGCCATGCAGCAAAAAGTTATACAGCCCAAAGTGTTAACAGTGCCATGGCTGAGAAATAATGAGTTAGAAGAAAAGCATCGTTACAGAAAATAAAAGCAAAATCACCTTTAAAAAAAAAAAAAAAAAAAAACTATCCTCCAAAGAATATCTAATCCACTTTCTTTTTTAATACAGGGATGCACAAATGGTGACTCTGATACTGGTCTCTCCAAAATGAGGATGAGGCCATTTATTGCTAATATTATATTAGACTTCAAGGAAATTTTGTAAGTGCTTTAAGCACCAAAGGTAAACAGGAAATAATGGAATGCTGCTCCTATGACTTTTCCTCAATAATTGCCAGCCTTCTACAGTCCTCTTAAGTAGTAACTGAGTATTTTTTTAGAAATTCTCTCTTCCATTTTAATTTCTTTTCAGAAAAGCTTTTAAATCTTATTGCAAAAAATTAAGGAGAAAAAATTATGTTCCTCAATTCTCAATTTATTGCTCTTTCTCTACCCTTAATGTGGATTAAATAAGCCATTATGAACCTATATATTGCTTCTTTTATAATAAAAAGCTTAATCCTTTATTATTTATAACATGAAGGCTGATAAAACAAGAAATATTATTTACTGAACTACGTGATACAGATAAAAATAAATATAAGTTTTAAATCACCTTTATTCAAGGAAGATAAAAAAGGATAGCCAGTTCTTTTTAATATGAGTGGTTATTCCTCAGTAGTTATTTCTAGGTTTTTATCCCTCTTATGTACAGTTACTTCATTATTAAACTACCTTTTTCATGAAACAATAAAATACTACACTATAGATTTTGTTGTAAGTAGATCTGAGTTCACATCTGATTATTTATAGTGTGATTATCTCTAAATCATTTTTCATTTATAAAATAAATGAGTAACAGAAACCTCATAAAATTATTATAAAAATCAAATATTATCATCTGAGAAGTACCTATCCCTGTCTAGCGAAAAACTATAAAACAATGGTAGACATAATCAAAACAAACGATACAATGATGTAACCCTGTAATTCCAATTACATTTCTAAGAGTGCAACTTTTTTTGCAACTATAATGAACTCTAATTAACTGTTCTTGTGATTGGATAAACCCAATAGAGAAAAAGAGGTCTTTGACACAGTGGCAGGAAAACAAAAATGAACAAGCACAAGATTTAAGCTGTTTCACTTACTAGTTGTATCACCTAACTTCTGAGCACTTAAAAATGAGTACATGTGTCTAACTCAGTAACATCTGCATACACACTGAATAGTGTAATTTAGTAACTAAACAGTCACTACAGTGTTAGGTAATACCAGAATACTGGAGAAGTGTATAATACATAATTAAAACTACTAACTAGTATCAGTATCTATCATGTTAATGCTTAGCTGAAGTATGAATAGCCACTAATGAGTACTTTTATAAAATGGAAAGATGTACATATGTAAATCTTCATATAATCAATGTGTAAGATCCAAAACTACCATAATTTACAGACCTTAAATAAAATATGCTATAAAGTTTTATTATGGAATCATTTCTGAAATTCACATATGAAAATAATCTACTCTTCAGTGTAAAAAAATCAGATCCTTAAAATATCCAAGTTTTGTATTAAAGGTTTATCTGGCATTAAGAGAAAGGACAACTAAAGTCTACTCAGAAATATAATAATCGTCTTAAACACACAGTTGTCTATTAGAGAACCTTAATCTTCACAGAGACAAAATGAAAAAAAGAAATTGATCTTCCTCTGTTAAAGGCTAAAACATGATATATTTTCTTTGGGAGAAAAAAAAGGAGCAAACAGATAGAGTCCATCACTTGATTATCTTACTTATATGTGTTCATTCATCCTATGACTGAACTGCACAAGGTAACATTCTTTGGAAAAAAATGGTGAACAATATTAATTATAAAAAATTTCCATTTTCTGAACTACATTCCAGTGGCTTAACCACTAAAATTTTAGTGAAAACGTTGGAAAGGGATTAGATTGTAATGTAATTCTGTCCGTAGTCTTTTTATATTTCTATTTTTAATAATTCTAATCTAAAAATATACTATAAACAAAAAAACATGCAAAAGTCAAAATAAATTACAAGTGTTATCTACATTTGCTGCTCAAGTTATGTGCTGAAAGCATTCCAAGTGCAAGTGATCCAGAGGCACAAAGCACCACACATGGGAGACTGGGAATAGTTGCCTGGAGTTAAGTCAACATTCTCCTCATTCTTCTCCTCCTGGCCTTCCAGAGCTGCTAAGTCTTCCTCGGGCGGATGGATTACTACAGTGGGGATATCGTCACTGGCAGGTGAGACCAGTAGCTCTGGGGCCTGAGGCTGCCTTTGCTGGACACTTCTGGAGGTCAGGCGACTGAGGTTAGGGCTGGAAGGAGGGCTGTTCTGAGGGGTGGGCACCGGGGTCGTGCACCTCGAGCCTGCAGGGGTTCCAGCTCTTGAAGCAGGAAGAAGGTGGCTGAGAAGAAGAGATAAAGGCGACTCTCCTCTCAATGAAAGGTTTGAGGCAGAGAGACCTGTTCGCAAAGAGTGGTGGGAGGCTGAAAGGCCTTCCCCTAAGATAAAACAAATAAATGAAAAAGATGAAGTTCACTGCAGAAGGCAAATATAGAAACACAAAAATCAATCAACACTGTCAACTGCAAGCTTTAAAGGCCCCAAATATCCAGTTCATGCTGTGAGGTTTGGCATGTCAATCACATTCTTAAATATTAGAAAGTCACCGGAAAGTTGTTTAAACTGTAATTTGTTCCCTGAACACATAATAAAAGGGGGAAAATGGTGGAGAACAATATTGTTAGAAATTAGTATAACCAATTGGCATTTTAAAAAAGAACACGCAATACAAAGTTATTTCTTAAATAATTAATAAATGGAAAATGAGAAAACAAAACCAGAAAGAGAACCCAAACCAAAACTTACCAGCATGGACCGCTTACATTTAGTACAACATTTTTCCTGTATTTTACCATATAGCTACAGATAATTATTCCTCACAAGAAAAATCCACATTAACAATGGCTAACAATTTCTAGCATAAAATTGATATTAAATATTTACAACATTAAGTTAACAGGGCAGGGTTGTACTCCCAAGTGAAATTTAGAGAAGCAAAACAGGTTATGGGAATTCCTTTAAAAGATAATTACACAGTCAAATTTAAAGCATACATATTACTAAATGGTCTAAAGATACTTAGTAATAAATGTCCTAAGGTAAGTTTCTTGTTTCTAATATCAAAAATCCATTTAACAACATTTATGCAGACATTAAATTAACTAGGTAAAAAGCATTTAATCAACAATAGCAACAAAATCGTCTAAAATATATCAGAAGATCACACGTACTTATAGATAAAACATCTAGTATTTCTATTAGTGAAGCTGAAAAGAGTAACATCCCTTTTGTCTGTTTGTTTTAGGAGAAACGGGAGAAATCCAACAACTTCTGTTGCCTAAGTTATCAAAGTCACATGCTCAAGGAATCTCAGAAGTATTATAAATACTAAATTTTAACCCATTACCTCTTTTTAGTTAAAACAAGCTACATGCAGAAAGTGTAAAATTACAATCACAATAAAATCATAAAATGGTAGCTAAAGGAAAATAGTAATTACCTTATAATTAAAAGTAATCAAATTAAAATTGGAGAACAAGAAATCGCTACATACAAGAACTAAAAATTTTAGCCTTTAGGTAAATTCAATTCACTAAAGTAGAAAATATCCAGAAAGAAAGGTGAACCTCGCCATATGTGGCTTACTTCTAAATTAAACTTAGGTTTACAGATTGTTTTTATTTATTCTTATGCCTTGTAAGACATAATTTTAAACACATGCATTAAAGTTTTAATAATCAAATGGTCAAATTAAGTATCTAACACTGAGCTACAAATAACTACTGTCAACTTTAGGGTACTGAAGTCAATCAGCTGTGGCTGTTTGCTTCTACAACACTTCCAAGTCATACTACCATTTCAGAGAAAGAAATGGAGGGAAGAAATGCTGTGCTCCGCATGCATCACTACTGGAACCCTTTTCAGTTTTGGGCAACAGTAGCAACTACAGACCTGAACTCTAGATTCCCTGTCAGCACAGTTCATGTTGAGAGCCAAAATAGAACCCTCGTGTTGGACTCCTCCACCTCAGACAGATACAAGCAGGGAGAACCCTCCCTGTGTGTCCACCTAAGTCACTGATGGAGGCTAATGACTACAAAAACACTGTCTTCCCATGGCAGAGAACAGAGCTAGATTCTGTGCAACAGCCCCAGTCATTCCTCATGGCCTGAAAGACAGCAACTAGGTCATCCTTAGTTGAACAGAGGAACTGCCATAAAACTGCATGAATAAAGAGCCGTTAAACAGAACACCGATCCAAAAAACACTTAGGAAAAAAACCCTAATACAGGTGTAGTAAAAAGGGTCAAACTCAAGACTTAGAATTTTTAAAAATTAAACTAAAATTACAGGTTAGAATTTATCCCTTTGTAATCAATCATAAAAATGTGAAATCTTGAAACAAAAAAGAAGTAATTCAGGGTCAAGGAAAATGACAGTTTAAATTAGAAGAAATTAGTCTGTGCCATATTAACAGTAAATGCTTAATTTTTTCATCCAAGTAATTTCTACAAATGACTGTTGTATTTTAAAGAAAGCTATTTCAGAAATAGTATTTTTTTGGCCCGGAGATTTAGCTTAGTGGCGTAAATGCCTGCCTGGCAAACATGAGGTCATGAGTTCAATTTCTGATACCAAAATTAAAAAAAAAAAAAAAAAAGAAATGATATTTTTAAAGGCACAAACAACAATACTTCATAAAAAACAACCAAAAAAGAGGTCTGGGGATTTAGCTCAGTGGCATAAGCACCTGCCTTGCAAGTGTGCAGTTTTAAGTTCGATCTCCAATACCAAAAAAAAAAAAAAAAAAAAAAAAAAAAAAGATGCAAAATACCTACTTATCTGGAACCATCATCTCTCTGTCCCCATAGGTTAACTGTAATATATTAGAATGCTGTTAGAAAAGAGTTAGCGATATTGGATGCCACAACTTATCTCACCATTCCTTTCAAGCAAGTGAGGGTCAGAATGTTTCTTGCCTATGTCTGCAAAAGATCGAACAAGCGGAATCCGACTAGTAAATCTTTTCTCATTCTGATGATGATGTCTCTTCAGGAGAGCTTCTCTGACATTCTCTCTTATGGACTCATCTAATTGACCAGAGGCTATCATGTTGTCTAACACCATATCTGTTCAAAAGAAAAAACAGTTACTATTAGTAGACAATAAAGTAACTGTAACATAAAACAAACTAAACAGCTCTAGAAAGTCTTATGCATCCTAATATTAAATAATGCACGCATAAATGTCAATATTATCCATACAGTAAAAGGGAAATGACAGAAACTCTTATTTTACTATATATGTTGTTTATAAAAAGGCCACTCTTACACTTTTAATAGTTTTCTCATTGTTGACAGTGCCTTCCTACATTGATGTAATAAATTCTATTTTCCTAAATATTTAATAACTTTGGCTAAGATACAAAGCTAATTGACAGGGCATCTCATACCCTCCTCAAACTGTTCTGCTACATAAACACATGGACCTATTCATTCCATCATTTATAATTTACTGAGTACAGCAGTTAACCAAGCAGAGCACATGTTTTGAAGAAGTAGAAAAGCAATAAGAAAATAAACTATCATGAATAAATTTGAAGAGGAATAAGCCACTGCAGGAAATGAAGAGACCTATGGCAACTTTATACCTTATCATGGTGACATTATTTTTAATTGATAAATTATGTATGAAGATTTTAAATAGTAGCACTAAATTAAGATTGTTTTTAGAGTCAGATTTTCAAAGCTGTAAGGTCACTCTGAAAAAAAAAAAAACTTGAGAAAAACCAACCTCACAGGCAAACTCTAACACAATTACGACAGCTCACTGTCAGGTGAACTCCAGATTATACCACCTTTACTGAAAGCACGCACTACGCTGCACTATGTGATAACTGCAAAGCCAAACTAAAACCCCTATGTCCATGTTCAATAGTCCTCACATTGACTCGGTTTTTTAGTCATTCACCAAGTAATGACTTCAGTAATCTAAACATCTGTAACACATGCTGAAATTCAACAATCAGATAACACTGAAGTCTGAGAAACCCATTAAGTTTATGGTTCTTTAGACAATCAAACACTACAGATTTTTTTTTTCCTAAGGAAGCAATTTATGGTCACCAATCACACTGTCAAACTCATTACCACTTCACTTGATCTTGGTTTTGAAGATTTATAGTTAGTGGCCAAACAACTGTATGGTCGCTGTCTTTTTCCATTTTCTACTTATACATGATCCTTCAAAAATCTCTCTGTTTCCACACTATCCCTGCCACTGTTCAGGTTGCTCTCTTGGAATAATCTTGTTTAGACAAGACAATCTAAACAAGATTATTCCAAGAGAGCAACTAGAGAACTTGCTTCTCACCTCTTCCTAATCCAAAGCCACCCCACAGCTGGGTGTGGTGGCACATGCCCAAAATCCCAGCTAGTGTACCTGGGTGTTTGAGGTTGGAAGATCACCATTTTAAGGTCAACCAGAGCCAGCTCACATTTTATTGGCAAAACAATCTTTCTGAAGAATACCTCAGGATCACACCAGTCCCCAATTTAAAAACCGTCAATACTGTCAGGGTAACTACCAAATAAACTCTTAACTTCTTATCCCTATAATTCAAGGCTAATAATAACACATCTTTAACATTTTCCCCACATTATCTCCTACAAATACTCAAGAAATCTGTCTGCTTTTGTGAAACTGAAGTATGCCTATCTCTAGGTCTTTAGACTTCCTTCGCCTTCTGCTCTGTGTCCTCCTCAGAACACATTTTCTTGCACTGCCTGTTCCTGTTACAGGTACTCAAAGTCTGTGAGTAAGCTGTACCATTAATGTTCTCTGCAAATCTTCCTCAGACAACTTGCTCCAAAAAGGAAAAAAGAAAGAAAAAAACCTTTCATCTCCAAATTTGGAGAAAACAGGCTATCTTACTCTCTTCTTGATATTTTATTTTTAATGCAACCTTCTTCTCTAAACTTGTCCAAAACAAAAGTGTTATGTATTTGTGACTACTCATTCCATCTGGGCAATAATGAAAGTTCAATAGACTACTGTTAAGTGAATACCTAAAATGTTACTTTACTTTTATTTATTTTCTTGGCATAACACTGTTTTACAATAGCCTATTCCATATTTTTCTACTGTAAATTTGACTTTAATAGAACAGCAGCTGGCTGGTCTTTAAGGTCGTGCCTGGAGGGTACTGGAAGCAACCTTTGTGTTACCTACTTGGTATGACACATGGCAAAGTGCACAGAGGCTGGGATTTGTACCCACATAATGATCTGGCTAACAGGTTTTTGCATGTTTACCTGAGCATCACAGGGGGTAAAATACACCCCCACAACTTTTGTTCTGTAAACATGTATTTTACCATAATGGAATCTGGGTGTGATTCACAGTAGCTGTGCCTGAGGAAGCAAAAACTATCTTGGCAAACAAACAGCAAGGTGGAGTCCCAAAGCAACAACAGATTAGCCATGAAATGTTCAATGCTAAATTTTTGTGCATTTAAGACTTTTTTCAAAACAAGTTTAATTTTTGATTTTTCTGGTAGAAGTAGCCCAATTCAGTACAAAGACACATGAAAAGCCAGATTTACAAGTTTTGGAGGCAATAGAAAGTGAATCATCAGATTACTAATACATGGAAAAGGAAGATGATAATGACTTTGCCATTGGCTGTACGAGCTAAAGTTCTTTTTTCTTTTTATCGGTACCAGGGATCAAACTCACGGCCGCCTGCTTGTAAGGCAGGTACTTATGCCGCTGAGCTAAATCCCCAGCCCTGAGCTAAAGTTCTTATGACAATGAAATGGGTGAACCAATATAGACACAGGGAATGCTCATTTCCTTAACTCAGATGATGATGAAGAAAACTGCAACACGAGTATGTGTTTCATCAGTCGAAATGGCACAAAATAGTACTACAACCAAATACAAAGATCCAACGCTAGAACTAGGTCCAAAAATATAGTGAGGATCTTGGCATGGGTGAGACCTACTGGATGGAATGCCAGCACCGCCACTCAGTATTGCAAATGTAACAGACAAAATGCTACAAGATGTTGTGACATACAAAAATGCTTAAATACAAGGGAAATGTTCTGCATGCATCAATAGCTATACTCGAAAATACAGTGTGACATCTTACTAGCTAAATTAAAAGCATCCAGAGGTCTGCTACATTTACCAGGGCTTTCTCACAGTAACTGCAGGAATGTAAAAGAGAGGGAAAAGTGATGGTGAGTTGGAAGTTTCAAAATGGGTGTGGATTCAAGGTTTGTAGAGTAACAATGGCACAGGAGATTTGTTTTCTTTCAAAACTGCCTGAGCTTTGGTAACAAAATCACCCACCAAAAAAGAAAGACAACTGGTAATATGGTTGTTATCCGTCCATTGTTTGAGAGACATGTAATTCTGAAACAATTTACACATGAATACATGACTATTGATGAACATCTGGCAGCATTTCATGGTCATTGTAGCTCTAGGTAGCATCTGCCCAAAAAATGATCAAATTGTGGCAGATTTATTAGGCTTTCAATTTAGAAATTTAACCTCGAATTCAGGCACCAGGTTCTTATTCATACAGTAATGAACTGAAAAATGTTGTTAACAAGAGATTTGTTGCTCCATCTTACAAATTAAGTAGAATGTGACATTTGACAATGGGTTCACCACTCTCCAATTAATGTTACATTTGCTAACAGAGCACAACTGACAAGTATAGGAACTGTATGCAAGAACAAAGCAAAAATTCCAAATGAAATGCTGCAATTTCAAAACTGGAGATTTACACAGTACAATCTTTGGATTTCAGAAGACGTAACAATGGACTCTTACACGGAAAAGAAAAAGAAACTGGTACTGCTGATGTTAACATTGCACCATGATGGAAATACTGATAGAGAAACCTTGACAAAATGGAAGCCTGAGACGTAACTGTCCAAAACAAAATCAAAGGTGGAGATGTTGTTGAGTTATAAGCAACTATGATGTCACTCAATACACCAAGTGTTGGCCAGTGCTTGTGTTTTACTCCATCCTAAACATGTGTGGCAAAGTTTGATAGTTTACAAGGAAAATAATAAGTGCAAAATACTACAGAGAAATTTTCTTAGAGGATTAGGATTGGCACACATAAGAGATCATTTACAGCAAACGTAAAACAAAACATTTCTGCCCAAAGAACTACATAAAAAAAACTATGGAGGGACCAGGGATATAGCTCAGCAGCATAAGCACCTGCCGAGCAAGCACTAGGTCCTGAGTTCGATTCCTATACCCCTTCCAAAAAAACCGTAGATCACGATGGTGAGTTGACAGGTAAACAGGCATATGCGACATCACAAAGACTACTGTGAAAACAGAAAAGCCCCAAAGACCTCAATTGTATACTACAAAACAAGAAAACAAAAACACTGATGTGCTGTCAGTGTAAGTGATACTTGCATATGAATATACAGCTCACATGAGTGAAGACTACACTGGGTGTGACAGTTGAAGCTACATTATTTCTGTGGTGGACTTTTGTATTTAAAGTATGATTTACATAGGTATTTATTTCTGAAGTTACGTATTAAGTTTTACAAATAATTAAACAGCTGATATGAAAATGCTGATGTCTACTCTAAGCACTCATTACGTTTGATATTTTATTTTACTGATACTGTCTTTTCTTGCTAAGTGTACACTTACAGTAGAAAGCTCCTAACAAAATAGGAAAACAAGAAAAGTAACGAGAGCAGCCTGACACACAGGAAAGGAAAGCACATGTGCTGTCAGTGTAAACAAGATGTGTGCACAGAACATGCTGCAGTCTCGTGTAAAGATTGCCTTCGGTGTGACAAACGAAGCAAAAATTACTTATGTTGCAGAGTTATTGGGATTTTCATTGTAGTTCATATCAGAATTTATTTCTGACATTATCTTTCAGGTTTTATAAGCAAGTACATAGCTGATGTGAAAATGTTGATGTTTACTCTAAATGTGTAAAATATATTAAGAATACTTTATTTTAGAGATACTTTATCTCAATGTTCCTGTTAACACACATTACATAATATAGTAAGAACCTCCCACCAAAACAGTGAAATCAACCAATGATAAGCATGTCCAACAAGGTGGCTAGCACAGCAAAACACATGTGCAATCAGTGCAAGAAATACATGTATACAGAACATGCTGCTGTCATGTGTGAAGACTGTGATAACTGAATTAAAGAGCATTTATCTTGTAGAATTCTACTGATATTTTCATTGTAGTTCACATAGGAATTTCTGTTATATTTTAGGCTCTGTATACCAAAGTCAGTGTTGAAAATTTTGATACTTTTTATCAACACTCAAAAATATTAAAAATTCAATACTTAACATTTTGAGGTTTTTTCTTTTAAGTACTTATTGTTTAATAAAATGCATAAAGTTAAAATTAATAATTAGTTCACCAGTAGAAATATTCTGAAGAGTAAGCATGGGTAATATACACTCATGACAACGTGCCTTTACGACAATATTGACATTATGCCTACAGGACAGCCTTAGTACACTTTAACTATAATAAAATTGGTCTAGGGATTTAGCTCAGTGGTGCAGCACCTGCCTGGCAGGCGTGAGGTTGTGAGTTCAATTTCCAGTACCCAAAAAACAAAATTAAATAAATAATTAAATGAAATTACCAGCAATTTCATCTAGAGTGCTTGCTCTCATATCCAGCATGACCGTTCCATTCAGAATGCAGCTTCTTAGCTCAAAAAGACTGTGCAAAGACAAAGTGGCCACATAGGGTTTACTCCATCGGTCACCACCATCTTCAACGTCCTCCTCAAATTTCAGCCACCTGAGCAAATAAGTAAAATTATTACATAAAAAAAAATCCCATGTTTTTAATTTGATAAACATAAATTTGTTATTTTAAAATAAAACCAAGAAAATCAACACCAGCACAGAATTTTCATTATAAGCACGTTTTCACAAATTTGGCCAGTGTCTACAGTGGCTACAGTCACACACTCTTTCCTGGCTATGACAGTAACAGGCCTATGGAAGCAAAAGCAGGAATTTAATGTATTATTCCCTTTGAATCCACTTTAAAACTACAGATCTTTACTTAAGATTCTGGTATTTAAACTAGCCTAGGAGGCACATGCTTGCAATCCTAAAGATGTCTTCAACTCATTCAAATATAAATTCAGCAGTCTAAGACAGGAAGATCTGTAGTTCAAAGTCAGCCTATGTAACATAGCAAATTTAAGGCTGGCCTGGAATATACAGTAAGATTCAAAGAAGAAAAAAAGAAGACTGATTTTTTTTTTTTTGAGACACTAAAATGTATAACACTATAATTTCATTTGTATTATTTTAAATCAAGGATTATTTAAGAAGAAAATTTGAGAACAGAGGGGAAAAAGTAAAAATGAAATTCCCAGATAACTGATAAAGAAATTTTTTGCCAACTGTCTTAAAAGTACCAGATATATCTCATAATTTCAATTTAATATTCTCATTATCAAAAGAAAGCTAAGCTAAAACCTGCGACTTGAGTCTTACCTAGCAGTTTCTTTCCATTCGTACTCTTCTCCATCTCTGTAGCACAGCTCATCCATCTCTGTGAAGAGGTCGTGAGGAATATGTTCTTCGTCGTCATCTTCAGTACCGAGGATAAACTGAACTCTCTGTGATGGTGTGTCTTGACAAAACAAAAGTTAGACACAAAGTTTTCCTCAGTTCATTCAAATACAAATTCAGCTTACCAATGCAAACACTTTTGTTGTAAATAAATCTACTTCAACCCTTTTTAAAAAATTAATAAGATACCATAATTTTAGAAGAAAACCAGGACCAACAATCAGATGCCCCCTTCAAAAGAGTATCACAAAAAAATTACCAAAGCAGAGGAAGAAAAACATTAAAAATAAGTCAAAAAAGTTTTATACCTACTCTCAAATAACCAAAAATAAGCCAACAGCCTAAATGATTAGAAACTGAAAGCTACAGATACATAGAAGCTACCTTTTCCTACAATGACAGAGAAATGAGTCTGTTGGCTGGAGTTAAGACAGGGCACAAGTCACTGCAAGAAACAGACGCCCCATTCATGGCCCTGAGACTAACCCACTTGCATGGTGCAGGACTCCCAAAGATGGCACAAATAATCCAGGACAAGGAAAAGCATCAAGACTTGCAATTAAGAGCAAAATGAAACCGATGAACATGAGAGATGCACTGTAGATGTAACAAGCAGGATATTAGAACAGGTCAGAATATAAGGACCAGATTGGAAGGAATTCTTAAAAGGAAAAGACAAATCTGAGGAAATCACAGAAAAAAAAAAAAAAAACAAGACAGGAAACACAAAAGACTAAGCAAAATGATGAAGAGAAGTAACTCCTACAAGGAAATCATAAAAGCAGGAAATGTAATGAAGCTTTGTTTGCTCTGCATTGTTATCAGGGTGCCCCTTCAATACGAAGACCCATGTCATTTTTTTGAACTTGGAAGTCTGCTTTTTCACTCATCAAGAAATGTGTGAAAATGTTAGATAAAACAGAACACTTAAAACATAGTTCAGTTCTGCAGCTTTACAAACTGCTTAACATTTGCTACCTGCATGATCTTCTCTGAGAAGACCATTTTACTCCTTTCTTTGCAATCTATACGCCTCCTTCTTCCTACCTGACGCACTATTAAGGTGCTCCAGTACACCGCAGTGTGGAAGGAGTGAAAGAGCACATCCTTACACTGTTCTAAATCATAGGAAAAAGCAACCTTTCAACATTAAATGTGATACTTACTGTAAGTTTTTTTTCAATAGGTGCCCTTCATCAGGTTAAAGAAGTGTCCTTTCATTCCTACTTTGTACAGTTTTATTATGAAAGGGGGTTGACTTTGTTTTGGACGTTTTGGACCTACTGTGGTAAATGTATGGCTTTTCTCCTTTATACTGTTATATACTTATACTCATACTCATAAATGTTTAATTTTTAAACAATTGTACATTCCTACTCAGTCATTACATTAGTGTCTTATTTTCACTTTAACATACTATCACAAACCTGGAGGCTTAAACAATACGAATTTATTTTGTAATTCTTATAGTCCTGGTCATCATTAGTCTGAAACAAGTCTTACAAAGCTAAAAACATACTGCTGGGACCAGGTATGGTAACACATACCTATACTCTCAGCACTCGGGAGGCTGAGGCAGGGGGATTGTTACAAGTTTGAGGCTAGCCTGAGCTACAAATGAGTTCAAGGCCAGCTCGAACAGTGTAGTGAAACCCTATCTCAAAAGACAAAAGAAAAAAATAAATGAACAAAAATAAAAATATACTCCCCTTCTGGTGCTTCACAGGAAAAATTCACAGCCTTACCTTTTTCTGGATCTCAAGGCTTTTTTTTTAAAATAGATCCTTCTACATTACAACCACTTGCTTCTTTTGCCACATCTATTTCCTATCTAACACACTGATATCCACTTACTAAAGTCCCCTCATTGATCAGACCTCTCTGCATAACCTAGGATAGCACATCTCCATGTCAAAACCTTCTACTTAATTCTATCTGCAAAGGACCTTCTGGTTAAGAAAGTACGTATTTACAGGTTAGGGTTAGAACATAAAACATCTAGGGGCCATTTTTAGCCTATGTCTATCACAATAAATTATCTTTTTAAACTATTGGTGGGATGAGATTTGGTTTTATGTTGTTTATACATTCACAGGAAACATTCTGCCTGTAGTTTCATTTTCATATCGCACTTCTGTCTAGTTTTGGTATTGAAGTAATGTTGCATTAATAAAATGAATTAAGAAAGTATTCCTTCCTCTTAAATTACTCAGCACAAACTGTATTTCATGCTATTTGAATTCATCCCTGATTATCTGGTAGTAAATTCACTATGAGAATGCTTTAGACTACAAATTCCATTTCTTTGGACATTCTTTTAATACATTTCTGCCCGTTTATATTCTTAAAGTATGTGTTTATTTAATCTACATTATCAATTTTGTTGGCATGAAGATATTCATAATGTTCTCAGAATACTTTTCTATAGGGTCTGTATAGAGAACTCTGGATCTTTACAGCATGCGTCTTCTTGCTCCTCTGTCCAGACTGGCTATAAATTTACTGATTTTATTACTCTTTCCAAAGGACAAGATTTTGGTTTGACTGATTTTTGTTATTCGTTTTCTGGTTTTTATTTCATGTATTAGTGATTTGACTTTTTTTCTTTTACTTTAGGTTTAAGTGTCTCTGTATTTTCCTTAGTTTCTTTAATTGAAAGCTTACATCACTTATTTTCAACCATTTCTAATATAAACACGATGAACAGTCCTTGAAGTACATCTTTCATTGCTTTAGTTCCCTTTGCCAAATGCAACATATCTACGGTCAGAACCCTGATCTCAGTTTTTAAGACTATATTAGTTATTTGCCTCTGTTGGGATTTAATTTCCAATGACTTAAAAATATTTCCGACTGTACAGCTCCTTTAACCCATGACTCCTAAGAGCCTGCTGGCTCTGGTCAGGACCCCCTCTCCCAGTGCTGTGGCCTGAAGACTATTTCCAGACAGTAAGATCAGATCGCCACAGGGATTTTCCTCACCCACATATGCCCACTGCGCAGCCAGTGCTGCCCACTGTCCAGTGTCTGGAATTATCATTTTGTATGTTTTATTCACTTTTAAGCTACTTAAAATCAGAGATCAGTTTCAAACTTCAGCTATAAGAGGAATAAATTCTGGGGACCTAATGTACAATATGGTATCTATAGCTTATAATTCATTGCACACTTGAAATATGATAAAATGGTTTACCTTTCCTCATCAGATACAAAAACTATGTGAAATGATGGATGCACTAATTAACATGATGTGGTAATCATTTCACAATGTATATTTGTATAATGTACACCTGAAATACACAGTTTTTAGTTAAGAATCGTAATTTAATAAAACTGAGGGAGAATAAACTGAGAGAGAAAACTCAATCTATTATTTCACCATGTCTAGCAGCAAAAGCTCTGTAATCTCTTTTTCAAATAGAACAGGAAAGGGGTATCACCTGAATCACTTTCTCTATTATTTGATAGGGCCAAAACGAACCTACTCTAGGGATATACATCTTCTCTAAGAATAATCAATTCCTTAAAAATTCAATACTTGAGAGGCTAAGGTCGAAGGATACTAAGTCTGGGATCAGTCTGGGCAAGTGAGATCCTATCTTAAAATAAAAATGTTTTGTGGACATAGCCCAGCACTAGCATGCGTAATACCTTGGATTCATTCTCTAGTACCATAGATAGATGAGCAGAGATAAAAGTCAAATATTTTCAGCTACATAGTTTTTCCATTATTGTAGCTTGAAACATTGTTACCTCAGTGAATATATAAACATAGTTTAATACAAAGCATTTTAAGTCATAAAAATATCATGTGCCTTTTTATTCACTATCAATTACATCAGCATAGTGATATACTCACAGACAACCATCTGTGATCCTGAAGTGGATAGGTACGCACATGCAACAGCAAGTCTTCTAAATCACTTAGCACCGTCAAAATTCAGTAGTGGAGCTTTCTAAATTCAGTATTCTTGTCCTTTTGCTAGCAACATGACCTTTGCCAGCAACATGACCATTAATATTTTATTAGGTCATGAATGTCTCTCAGCAAAGGTTAAGAGATCTCTTTAGTCTCTCTAAGCTGAAGTTTCCTACCTATGAAAATAGTAAGATCTGGGGCTGGGGATTTTGCTCGCTGGCATAAGTGCCTGCCTGGGAAGCAGGTCATGAGTTCAACCCCCGGTACCATTAAGGGAAAAAAAAAGGGCTGGTGATGTAGCTCAGTAAGAATACTCATAAGAAAAAAAAAAAAAATAGTAAGATCTATTCCGAAACTCTTGTGAAATAGCTGAGTTTAACTAAGTGGTAGACCACTTGCATATTATAGCAGGTATAAGGCTCTACTGTCTAGCCATGTATGAGGTGCTAGGTTCAATACTCAGAACTAAAAAAAGAAAGAGAACAGCAATTGTTGAGAACACTAAATAATGGAACACGTCTCAAAACTTAGTTGATATTTTATGTAGCTAGCCAGGCAAAATGGTGCCCAACGGTAAGTCCAGCCCTCAGGAAACTGAGCCAAGAGGGTCAAGGTCAGCCTGACTACCAGCTCATTATTTACCTGTCTGTCTGTCTGTCTGTCTACCTAGGTCACCAGTAACTTAGGTTCATGTTGTGGCTATTTTATACACAGTGAGTTTGTTATGCCATGTCTTTTCACAAAAATTTAGTTTTAGCATAGCACACAAGTGCAAACAGTGGTACAGCTTACATGACTTCACCAGCCTAGTAGATCAGATCTTCAGCCAAAAAATGTGACTTTAAAAAGGCACACACACAAAAATAAAGTCAATACAATCCAGAAGCTTTAGTATTTCAGATGTCTATGCAACACATATGTAAGTACTGAAATATATGGCAAAGAAAAGGAAATAAAATCCTACTAAATTTGAAGGTAAATGATAAGACTGAAGTTTTATAACTTTGAAGTTGGACTCAATGTCCTTACTTTTTTTTTTTTTTTTTTGCCACTTACACTAAGGAGATCTTAACCTATCAGCCAAATATTTGCCTTATTAAAAAAAAATCTTACTTCAATAAAGATCATAAAGTACGTAAAGTTCTAAATTACTCCCAATTTCCAGTCATTAAAATAAAAGATGTAATCAAAATGTAAGATATAAAAACATAAGATATATTCCAGGAAAGAACTAAATTATCAATAAGAACAGCTATCTCCTCTTACCGTAAGAAGGAGATTCTCGTCCATCCTCTTTATCCGATTCTTTATCTTTTCTTCTCCGGTGGTGATGTTTGTGTCCACGATGCCGATGACGTCGACGACTCTCCCTACCAAATGGCACATGAACACCAATATATACTGCTCGGTGACCTATCAACAGATTCAGAAATGTATTACCAATTTTTCAAAAGGGAGTAATAGCATGGCATTCACTCTGATAACACAGAATTACATATACACTAACATAATTAACAATGGTAGCTTCCCGTTACTTCTCTGGTTTTACATAGCACCGCACAGAATGTCATGTATGTGGCAACTTCCAAATTACTAAGGGCTACATTAAATGTAAATTATCCAAATACTCCAGTTAGGGGGCTGGGGACTTAGCTCAGCCGCATAAGCACCTGCCTTGCAAGCCCGTGGTCGTGAGTTCGATCCCTGGTACCAATTAAAAAAAAAAAAAACTCCAATTAAAGGGTAGAAATTATAAGACTACATAAAAAGCAAAATAGTTGTGACATGTTTTGGAACAGAAAAATACTACTACTAATACTGCATTACCCTATCTTTGTATTCTGACCAAAATAAAAGTTATGAAAGGCAGTCTCTGGTTTTGTCCGCTGAATAAAACTGAATCAGGGAACCAGAAAATTAACTGCTCTAGGTCAACTGTTGAGAGGTAAGAATTTGGTGTCTTTAAAGCTTAAATGAAGGCCCCTATCTGTACTCAGTAAAGAGGGACATAGACTACCCATTTAACTAGTATACAATATGCAAAACATATCTGATATTGAGCTGTTTGTATTTTTATATACAAAATTTGAAAAATGTAGTGAATTATCAAGTTGATTACACTGTTTTCCTAACAAATTCCATGAGATGGTCAGAACATAAATAAGAACATTTTCATCCTTAGATAAAGTTTAACAGTAAACTCGATCTTCAACATTTTTGGAGACTGTACTTGTGAATTTGCTGATTCACTAGAACTTCCTTGTAAAAAATCAATATTCATGAAAGTTTTGAGGTCACCTGTGAACATGTAAAAAACAGCAAGTATTCGAGTTGATCTGATATTCATGCTCCCAGCTAAGGTACAAAATAAAGGTGACACTGAGGTCTTTTTTCACCTGCCAGTGGTGACACACACCTGTAAACCCAGCTAGCCCAGAGCATGAAGCAGGAGGATCACAAATTTGAGGCCAGCCTGAGCCATTTTACAAGGCCCTGTCTCAAAACAGAATATAAAAAGCCCAGGGGATGTAGGTCAGTGGTGGAGTACTTCTTGTCCAATTCCTAGTATCCTTCCCAAAAAAAGCAATTATAGAGTGTTAAAAAAAAAAAAAAAAAAAAAAAAAACTTAATACTTATAGAAACATTCTGAACTAAAATTATCTGTTGAAACATCTTCTACAATTCAGCACTGTCCCGCACATAGTTAGCACTCAATATATGTCCACAGAAATTAAATCTCAAATAGAAAAACATTTTATCAGGAATTCCAAATTTAAAAATTGATTATACAGGGTTTCTTTTAAAAGCTGACAGGAATATTTCTGGGATTAAGAGTAGTATTAGTTGAGCTAGGCATGTGTGCACATACCTGTAATCCCAGCCCTGCAGGAGGCTGAGGCTGAGGCAGGAGGCTGTTGGATTTGAGCCCAGCCTGACCAAATTAGTGTCGTAACAAGACTCTGTCTCAAAGTAAGAAAAAGAAATGAAAAAGGGCTAGGGATGTGTCTCAGTGTGAAGGTCCTGGATCAAGCCCCAGTATGACAGACAGGAGTGGACAGGGGAGGGAAGGAAAGGGGAGGGAGAGGATAAAGAGGAGGGAGACCACCGAAGGGTTAAAGGTTATGACACAGTGAATGTAAGCAACCAACTACACACTTTAAAATGGTATTTTACACTGTGAATGATATTCTAATAAAAAAGTAATGCTATAACAAAACTGATTTTACCAGTTTACTTTAGCGAAACTATTTCCTGCTGAACACCAAGAAAAGTACACAATAAAGCAAGTTCCCATTACCAAGCACTGGAAATTACAAAGTTGTAACTCCAATTAGCACCAATCGTCTTAGAATAAAACTGCAACGTATCCAGATACAAATAAATCCAGAGAATCTACAGTTCAGAAAGACTAGATAAAATAAATAAAAGTGTAACAGACTCCAAAGACTGGGAGATCGAACCTTGTGTTTCTGCATTTATTTTGGCCTTCGTGCCCTCTGTTACAATATAAAATATACAAGGGGGCTTGTTTTCTACAAGCCCCAATAAGCCTAGACTTCTGAAGTCACTTTTGGCAGTTTTAAAAAACTTCAGATGTAAATGAGAATTCTTACGTCTCTTTCCGTCTCTTTCAAAATTAACAAATTAATCATCTGATATAAAACCAGGTACCATAGATTTTAACAAAAGAAAAAAAAGCAGTCCCTCAAAAGGAATTACAAATCACTTGCCATGAGCACCACTTTAACATAATGCTCAGCCTGAACCTCAGCAGCAGTGAGTCATGCTGTTCAGGAACCCACAGGTAAGATGCAAAGGGCTAGCATATTCTTCCTGCAATAATTTTTTTTTTGGTACCAGGGATCAAACTCATGACCTCAAGCTTGCTAAGCAGGCGCATGTGCCACTGAGCTAAACCCCCAGCTCTCTACTACTCATGTTGTAACAGCGTAACAAACCCAAACTGAGGTCACTGAAGGGAGATCTAACAGTCCCCTTTCAGAAGTGTCAAAGTTGTGAAAGATCAGGGACCAATGAGAAACTGTTGAAGATTAGAAGAAAGTAGGGAGACAGGACAATTAAAACTACTGAATCATGGAACAGAAAAAACCGTTAGTGCAGAAAACTAGTAAATTCCAAATCAAACCTGTGATTTAATTAAGAATAGACTAGCAATTACTAATTAACTTAGCAATTAGCTAATGTTATCTGCATTTTCACAAATATATGATGGCATTCATAGATCTGGGTGCAGCACACATAGGAATGCCCTGTACCATCTTGGCATCCTATTCTGTCAATCTAAAATCATTTCAAAAGGAAAAGAACAGAAACCATTTGTCAGGATTTCTACAGGCTTAAGGAAGAAACCATTTGCTTCATAATTCTATGCAGAGGTTACTGCAGCATTTTAAAACAGACCTATATAACAAACATTTTGGGGCCGGGGATTTAGCTCAGCAGTGTAAGCACCTGCCTGGCAAACATGACATCATGAATTCGATTCCCTAGTACCAAAAAACCCCAACATTTAGCTAACAATTAATGATAATGGCTTCTTAGTCCAGCACTCGGCGTGCTTGTAATATAAATCACCAGGCCTGCCAGAAGTAAAAAATAAAATAATTACTTATTTTGTAACTGTGGTCTTTCACTTTTCCAAGAAATGGTAACTATATGTGAAGTCTGAAAGTCTTTCCCAAATCCAACTTATGTAAATGCTTTTAGAACAAAAATGTTCCATTTTTAGACACAGCTTAGTGTTTATATGGATGCTTGCTACAAGATGAAACTATACCAGGAAAATGGTCAGCATTCTTCTAAATACATATTCTACCTCACAACTACAAAGAAAAGTTTCAAAAAACAAAGAGTAGGTAGAATTTAAAGAACACTAACAAACCTTAATTAGTAACCCACTGTGCTAAGCATGGTAAGTTATTTTAAATAAACTTACTTTCTAGTTCTTCTTTTTCAAACTTGGTGTTCACTGTTGAGCTGGTTTTACCAAGATCCACAACAGCTTCTTCATCAGGACCCTAAAAACAAATTTATTCTTATTTACTCATAAAACCAGTAATATTTAACATTTAGTGATAAAACATTTGAAATGTCAAAAAGTATGAAACAGACTACTTTCTCTCAAAGAAATGAATTCTTCACTGCATCCTTTTTAAGGTAAGTTTACATGATATTTTTTAAGTCCACAGAATACCATTAAAAATCTCAGTAAGAACCAATGTGATGCCAACCATAGAATAATCCCAGCTGTCTCTCTGGGAGGCTGAGACAGGAGTTCAAAGTCAGCCTGGACAACTTACCAAGACCCTGTCACAAAATCAATTTTTTTTAAAAAGCAAGGGCAGAGATGTAGGTCAGCTGTCAAGGAACAAGTTACAGATTCAATTCCCCTGGCCACAAGAAAATAAAAATAAAATAAAGGAACTGAGTGGCAAATATTTTTCAATGGTTTTTTTTGCAGAAGATACTAAATAACTAGTAATATATTCACTTCATGTTCAACAGAAAGCCTTTCCAGGACCAGAGACTGATGAAAATCTGGTGCAAAGGAATTTCTACATGCTAATATGAAATATTCTTAAATTTTGCTTTTAGGTCTTCAACTTCAAACAACTATATTGGACTATGGTTAAACAGAAAAATTTCAGAAGTGGACTCAATATGTGTCCAATAACTTACAGGTTAACTAAAAGTCAACAAAAGGTTAGAAAAACTTTTTAGAACTCCACAAAGGAAAAACCACACCAAACTTCGAACTCTCTGGAAGTTATACCTTTTAGTTGTGTATGTCTTTTGCTTCTACCTTTTAATTTTGTTCCAGTCTTCAATTAAAAAAAAATAGTAAACATAAGTATTGTATTGCAAGGACTATTTTTATAAGAATAAAATTTCAGCCAAGCATGGTAGCACACACCTACAATCCTAGCACTCAAGAGGCTGAGGCAGAAGGATCACTGCAAATTTGAGGCCAGCCTAAATTACACAGCAAGATCCTGTCTCAAAATAAATAAGTAAATAAATAAATAAATAAAATTTTGGTTTTAATTTCTCATTCTAACTTCTAACAGCTTTTGAAAGGAACATTACAATCATCAACTTATTATGTACAATTCTGAAGCACAAATAGAAACAAGTGAACAGATCACCTTTAAAAAGTCTGGGTATAAGTTCAAGTTGAAGTCAGATACAGCTAACTGCAATCCTGCGGCAGCATGGGCTGCTGGAGCTGTGAATGGAGAGCGCTGAGCAACCTTTAGCAGTGCTGAACAAGAAACTTCTCAGTACATACCAAGTAAAACTATACACTTAAAATTCTTCTTCCATGTCCAAACTCAATGCCCACATTCTATCTAAATTCAGGAACTCAATTTGCACGAATTTTCAAATTCCTTACTATTGGAAACTTTCACTACTTGCTACCCCAAATTCAGAACCAGAATATATTAAGAAAACATAGATCTTCTGGTACCAAACTTACTTTCTAAAGGCCAGATATCCAAACAGCCATTGAACAGATTTGGGTATAAGGCATATGACTCTGAATCACAGCTGTTCAACTTAACATAGGAAACTCAGAGAAGTTAAATAACTCACTAAGGAGCCGTATGTAAAGGAGAAGCAGGCTATACAGACCAGGGACAAAGGCATACAATGCACTAAGAAACAGATAGCAGTATATGTAACTAATCAAACTGCTGCTCAGTTCTTCGCACTTCTTAGAGAAAGGCCAAGGAAGGAAACCAAACCATCAGTTACCTGAGTCACATTCCCAAGCCTTTATCTACCCTTCAATGACCGTATCTCATTTAGTTCCTAAACACATGCAAGTGCAAAAGACAAGATCTCTTCTAAAATAAAACGGACAAGAATTGTGTCTTGAGAGGTATCAAACTGGCTATTCTAATAAGGATTAACTGCTCCCATTCCAAGTGCAGCCTGCACAACTGCCAGAAGCAGCAGCAAAACAATACACTTAACTCCTGCGTTCAAACAAACAAAACCCTGCTTGTTTTTATGCAGCTATACTTACATGTTCAAAATATGCTAGACATACTACTAATTGGCTAACTAAAATTAAAAAAACAGCTTCAAATGCCAGGTGCTGTGGTGCACACGTGTAAAGTTCTGGCATTCTGAAGGCTGAGACAAGAGGACTGCCACAAGGAGCATGGGCTCCACAGTGCCATCAAGGCCAATCTGAATTGCACCGTGAGAACCTATCTCAAATCGCACCCCCCACCTGCTTTTTTAAGTTATGGGCTGGAGGGACAGGAACGTGGCAGAGTGAGTGCTTGCCTAGCATGCCTGAGGTCCTGGAGAGTCACTGCCCAGTACTGCCACAAAAAAAATTTAGAAATCTATTACTTTATAATTTATTTAATATTCACTTTGTTATCATATTACTTAAAATACATGTATCTTTTACCGTTAAACACTGATCACAGAAAAATATTCCTACAAAGTAGAATATAAAAACAGGGTACCATCTAATACTCCTTCTTTTCTGGTCTACCCAGCTTGCACTGCGCTCTGTGTGACACTTTGAACAAGTCACTCGAGTTCTCTGAACTTTCCATTTCCTTGTGATGGGTTTTTGTAAGTTTTCTGACAGTGACTCACTATACAGTTCAGGCTGGCCCTGAACTCTGGATCCACCTGCCTCAGCTTTTTAAGCGCTGAGATTGTTAGGCATGCACCACCACATCTAGCCAGTGTTCCTAGTAAGGAAAAAACGAAGAGTAAAAGGAAATTTCATACTAAGGAATCCCTTAAAATGGATCCAAAAGTAGAACAGATCTAAATGTATTGCTGAGAAAAGATCTCAGACTAGTGAAAAACAAGTGATAAAGAAATAATGTAAGATCACATTTATATTATTCATAGGACAAAGAGAAATTTTATTTCTCAATGTACAAGTATGTTTCTATGCATTTATATTAAATAAAGAAGGAAGAGGCCTGGTTGGACCCATACCAAATTGTTAACTGCTCCTTTCTAGATAAGGAACTTAAGTTTGAATAAAAAACAAGTTAGAATATCACTTCATTGTTATTGAAATTTTCAACTAGAATGTTTTCATGTGCAATTTGTATAACTGTTAAAAAATTTTAAACCTTAAAACATCATAATACTACATCACTGAAAAAAAGATAAAAGACTAAATATGCATTTCTTCTTTCCCTTAAAAACATTACCAAGTTTTTCACTGCAAAACAAGAAAAGCAAAGCTGGGGATGTAGCTCAGCCGCACAGCACCCGCCTGGCAAGTGAGAGGCTGTGAGTTCAATTCCTGGTACTAAGGAAGAAAAGAAAAGCAGCATAAAACTGTCTTAGAACCACAGAAACTGGCTATCTTGACATACAAATGTTACAAAGACACAGCAGACATGAAAATCCCTAAGAACAAAGCCACTGGGTGTTTTAAGTGGGCAATATCTTTATAAAACAAATGTATGTTTCAAAACCTACCACGTTAGTACAACACTGCATGTCCTTATTTCTCATAAAAAGTCAGCATGAGCAGTGTGATGCACGCCTATTATCTAGCATTCTGGGAGGTTGAGGCATGAGGATCAAAAGTTTGAACCAGTCTGAGCAACTTAGTGAATGAAACCCCTCTCAAAAATTAACAAAAAACTAAAAATAAAAGGCTGGTGATGTAGCTCATCAGTGCCAAGACTCTGGGTTCAACCCTGATTACTGGAAAAAAAAGAAAGGTTAATTTGTGTCTCTTAAGTTTATATAAAAAATCATAAGCACATATTAAATATTTGTAAAGAGAAACAGAACTGCTAACACCATGACAGAAAGCACTGAAGAGCAGAGACAATCCTACAGTATTTCATTCTTTTATTACAAAGAACATTTTTTATTTTCAAAAAATACGAATTTCAAGCAAGACATGGTGACCCGGGCCTGTTATCTTACTCTTTGGAGGCTGAGGCAGGAGGCTCACCAGCCTTAATTACAGTGAGACTGTCTCAAAAAAAATTCAAATTTTGATCTAATAAGCCAATTTTTATATATATTTATTTATTTTTGATACCGGAGATTGAACTCACAACCTCACACATGCCAGGCAGGCACTTACACCGCTGAGCTAAACCTCCAGCCTATAAATCAATTATTTGAAAGATTGTATCTAGAAAAGACTTTCCTATTGTTTACCTCCTAGAATACAGTGGACTAATAAAAATAGCAAGAGCTACCCCAGACATCACAAATGTTTTGCTCTGACTTTTAGATGGGTCATAAAGGATGCTGCTTAGAAAAATCTAAGAAAATCTAACTAAACAAGAAAGAAGGTCATGGCACCAGGAAAACTCAAAAAGACAGAACAGTAAAAAGACATCCAAACTACATCAATGCAAGAGGGACTCAATGTATCTTAAGGAAATTATTTAGCCCTGTTTTCAATATTTTTTTTATAAAATAAGGTCACTACCACTGTACTGTAACATAAGGAACAACATGTTAATGATCCAGATGAAAGCAAAGAGAAAGCTTCAAATATCCACATATGAAATGACCTGTATATGCGGTTTATTGGTACAACAGGGCTTATAATTGGGCAAGATTGGAAATAACTCTAGGGTTTGTTAAAAAGAACAGCTAAATAAACTATACGACATGACCCAAGGGACCACAAGTCAGTTTTGATAAATATGATTTTGAAACTGAGGCTAAATAATTTACTTAGGATTAGAGTGAGTCAATCCTGCACTGATATAATTTAGGAGCCTTTTATTTTTTCCATGGTTTCGCTAACACTATGAATTGAAATTGAATTTCTCTAAAGACAATTTGAATTTGATGAAAAGTTTTGAAGGGCTAACAGAAAAAGTGAAAAATGCAAGAAAATGAAAACAGAACTCAAAGAAATATAAGGCATAAATACTGACAAGTAATTAGATTCAGTAACATGAGGATTCAGGTTACAACCAAGTTACTATCAGGTAACTTTTCACAAAGCAAGTGAAAACCTACCAGGGTCCTACCCAAATTATGATATTATACTGTTTCCATGAAACTCACTCCAAGTTTCACCCACTACACAGTAACACAACACATCAACACACATGTAGAAACTCTATTTTAGGGTTATCAAACATGCATAAATTTATAGCAGAGTTAAGAATTTTTATAACTATTTACAAAAATGGCTCCTTCTGTAACTCCTTTAACTCCTTTACTGATAAATAAAATGTATAGAAAGGCACACACAAAAAAAAAAAAAAAAAAAGAAAGGAAAAAAATAAGAAATTTCCTACAAAAGCACACACATTCTGCAGAGACTGGGGTTGAAAGAACCATAAAGATTCATGAAATAATTAAATGTTTTTCAGCAAAAGAAGGTCCATAGGTGTTCTGCCAAGACATCTCATCCTCAGTACACCTGCGGTTATCATTAGTTGAGTATTTCTAAGGTTCTACTACAGTTTTTCACTGAAACCCAACATAAGATAAAGTGAAGGAGCCTCTCAGCCTGATGGTCATCCCCCTATTCCTATTCTCCCCATTAATAATACTCCTCGTTCCCCAAAAAGTCTATGGCACTGTGAAAGGCTCATTTCCTTAAAAACTAGACTAAGGAACTCATCTATTCATCCAATAAGTACTGAGAACATATTCTAAGGATTACTTCACACACGGGCGCTATCAGTGAATAAGATGTTAACATAATTGAATGTTCTGCTTATCAGTTAACTTCCAACTAAAATGCGACTCCGCCTATTAAGAATCATCCAGAGCTAATAAATAAACATAATAAACAATGAGTAAAGTCTCAGATATGGAATAGGCTTTTCTGTTCCAGTTGATTCATTCTTTAACTATAAAAAATAGGGTCAGGGATTTAACTCAGCAGCTTAAGCACCTGCCTGGCAAGTGCCCAGTCATGAGCTCAATCCCCGGTACCAAAAAAAAAAAAAAAAAAAAAAAAAAAAAAACCTATAAAAAATAAAACATATACACAAGTTTAGGTGACTTAAGATCACAATCAGTGAAAGAGTAAAATTAATAGCCATATCTGCAAGTACTGTTACATGAATTCTTTATCCATATAGAAAAAGGTCTCTGCAATACATCCTGAAACCATGTGGATTTTTTTATTAATCTATAATTACAAATGTATGCAACTACTTGTTTAACTATCTCCCAACTGAATAAAAAGTTACAAGAAAGGAAGAATACTGTAGAAGGGAAAAGCCATGTCACTGTGGCTTAGCATTATTCCAGCACCAAGCAGTGTTTGGTTCAGGTGAATTCTCTATGAACACGTATTAAATGTTCAATATATTTCAAAGGACATGACACTTTACTAAAAATTTCTACTGGATCCATTTAAATATTCCTCTGATATACACAAATAAAGCTTGAGCATATTAAAGTACTCAATACTTTCAATCAGTTTATAAACAAAAAAAAAACCAGCATCAACATGTAATAAAGTCAAAATTCAATTCACAAAAGGGAATCTGTGCAAAAATCAAACATTTGATTTTGCTAGAAACTCATTTTATAACTCTATAACACATTTTACTAATTCTTCTTAATCACTTATCTTACCTGAAAAGCAAAATCTACAACTTATACTTGACTTGGTCAATTACCAAAAATGAGAATTAGCAGGCCAAAGGCATACTAATAAGAAAAAAGTATTAAAAATTATAAATATAACATAACCTTAACACATCTTTTTTGATACTTGAGATTTACAAAATTAAAACAGCCACTGAGGATCCATAACACAAATTTGTATTTCTATTACATACGACACATGGCTATACCCCAAAGTAACACCTCCCCTAAATTATGATTATTAACTAGGCAATTTCAGTTATCAAACACTTCGGTTTAGCTTCAAAATACATTTAACCATTAAGGGAAAGTGACTTCTTGCCCAATTTCTAATATATATAACTTCTACTCTCAATGAATTATTCTAAATAGGTTCAAAATCAACCTTATAGAGTAAAAGATACCACAAACATTTCTAACTTTACACAGGATTTACTCTTCAGCAGATGACTTTGACAACCAAGGACACAGAGGATGATACTATTCTAAGCCACTGCTAATTAAGCCTGACATTTCTTGAAGCTTCACTATTTAACTTTTAAAGATTCAAGTTTATCTGTAAATAAAATATAAGATCTTAACTAAGTACATACAGGCAACTTCTTTTCCAGACGAAATCTTTCCATAATAGTTCTTGCTTTTGATAACGTAATGCAGTAAGTCCCTTGAAGATCCCAGGGACAGTGAGTGCATATCTGATTTAGGTCACTGTGCTTTGCAGAGATGAATTCTTCTAAGTTACTTTTATGGTACAGCCAATCACTGTCTTCTAAGTTACCTAATCCGCCAAGCTAATAGCTACAAATTGCACAGGGTCACACCACTTACAGATCTGGAAAGTAATACAATACACACGTTTAGAAATACTAAACGAAGAATGCAGGAACCAGGTTCCCAGGGAAATCTTTAGAGTGTCAGTACAAAAGAGAACACACTCAGAATACAAACATAAAGGCAGATATATATATAGATGAGTGTATTTACATGTGTGTGCAGTAACTTTCAACAAACTGACTTAATTCTAGCCCTTTCATTTAATTCATGAAAGACCCCAAAACGATTTCATCTCAAGACAGCTTTGACTTTTTTTAGTATTCCTAAATTTATGCAAACCAACCTGGAACTACATTACTAGGATTAATAATTATCATTTTAACCACAGTATTTATACAGATAACAGTTACAATGGAAAAAGGAAACAAAAGTCACCTCTTTTAACTTCTGGGCTTGGCAGGTTCTTGTGTGTGAAACCTATATATGTCTACATTTACCACATCGGAATTAAAACTAAGAAAACTTTAAGGATCATTAGAAAAACAAAACAACACATGAAATATATATAACTTCTGAATGAAAAATAACCAGTTTCAAAAATAAAAGTGAAAAGACTGAGTTTCGTGGTTTTGCAAATCTCCTCATAATCTGACTGACGAAAACTCGGATTTTCCTTTCACACCCCCTTTTTCAGCTACTCTGATCTGATTAGCTGGCCACAGACTATTTAGAGACCCAGGTGAACACAGATAGCCTGTGCTCTTTTACAGGAATTGTGGATACTTGTCTGACTCTTCACCAAATTCAACCAAACAAGTATGAATAAAGGAGCAGAGATAAAAGCAGGGAAAAAAAACTATACAATAGGGACAAAATGATAAAATATACAAGAAAAAAGAATGCATTTAATTTAAACCTAAAATCTGCCCAAGAGCAAATACTCTAAATACATTACAAAACTATCAATGAAGCAACACAGAAATCGTTTTCTCCAGTACCAAACAGAATCAAAGAAATAAATCTTCACTACAGTCCAGGAAGATCATTTACTTAACCAAAAGGCTCATTTGGCTTAAAAGTAATCAATTACTTTTTCATCATAATTTGAACACATTTCCATGATCATTCTGCTTCACCCACTGGAGATAAGAACCAAACTATTCTGCCTCAACCAGGAATAAAGTATCAAGAGATTATTAAAGCAACTTATGGATTCTGGTAAAGGCAAAGAACATGAAAATACAATTCAAGATAAAATCTGCAGGGCTCAGCCTTTCCCTTTAACCTAACACCCTAACATTTTTAAAGGATACACTAGGTACAGCATTATCCACTCTGTATATACCCAGAGGTAAATACCTCACAGAAATAAAAGCACTGAAATATAAAGTCAAAAATATGTACTGTCAAACTGGCAAAAATCAGAAGACAACTTGAAAGCACGTAAGGGAATGGCTGATTACACTAAACAGTCTAAAAACTTACAAACAATGACACAGAACCAGAGTCACACCCAACAGATGTCAGTGGTATATTACAAAAAACTACCATTGCATGTTTAATATGGCACTCATACTTTACAAAAAATAAAACCTATTTGTGAATGTATATGTCTTATGACAAACTACAGAAAAATGCATAATTTGTCTTCTGTATTTCAACAAAGATTATGTTACCTTAAAGATGTTAAGATCTAGTAATTCAGCACAAGTGGTGCACACTTGTAGCACCCGCTAGGAAGGTGGCTAAGGCAGGCGCAGTATGTTCACAAGCCCAAGGCCAGTTAGGCAACTTTGCAAGACCCTTGCTCAAGTTAAAAACATAAAAAGGGCTGAGGATGTAACTTAGCACTCCCTGGGTTCACCCCAAGTACAATAATAATAATAGTAATTCCACATGTAATATTTAATATCAAATGTAATCAATGCCATTAAGGTGAAATATCAGTGACAGTCTTTCAAAAATAAGGTAATTCTTCTTTTAACGAGATACAGTCTTGAGTGTGAGGGTGTGTGTGTGTGTGTATGGTGCTGGGGAATGAACCCGGGGTCTCATGCATGACAGGAAAGCGGCTCTATCACTGAGCTCTATCTCAATCCATTTCTTATTTTAGACAAGGGCTTGTTAAATTGCTCAAACTACCCTTGAACTTTTTATCCTCCTGTCCCAGACTCTTAAGTAGTTAAGATTACAGGTGTGCTGTATTGTTTTGTTGTTATGCCCTTTTTTATCTCAACCACTCCCTTATTCATTAAAAAATTATTTCTTTTTTAAACTAAAGGGAAAAAAAAAAATCAAAAAAACTAGCAGGATATATTATAGTAACTTTTTTGATTTCCTATTAACTTGATTAAGTCCTGTAATACTCCCACTATCTTGTTTTGACTGATTAGACTCTGTTATGATAGTATGATAGTATTAAGTATGACAGTATTAAGTATCAGAATATAGGCAACTACTTTGAAGGCAATAAGATTCACTTTGATGCCCATTCTGGTTTGACTATTATCCTCTTTTGAAGTTCTGTAAGGTTTACAATGTTTAGGTTTTATTGGTCTTGTTCGCTACTGTTTTGTTCAACTTTATAAAACCTAATGAGATAGACAATTCTTCTTAAGGAAGCAAGAGGCATTATGGTAACCATTGTTGATAACCTTGTACTCTGTTTTTACATCATGTGCTATGTCTATCCTTGGTTTTGACTGACAGCTTTGTTTTCTCATGTTTGATTTTATTCTCTTACCAAAAAAAGTAGTAAGATCTATGGGAGCAATAAAACCCAAAATTGTGTAAATTTTGTTGTAATAAGAGAGGGAAAAAAAAAGTGCCCTAAAGAATACAACAGCAAGTGTGTTTAGGTGTGTTAGATGACCATATTAATATTTTTGATTGGATCATTGAACACAACTATTTGCAGTCTCACTGTTTGAATGTTCACTTTGTATGCTTTGATCCTGTGACCTGAATCACCATTTCTAAGATGATAGTGTGTAATCTATTAAGTGGTGATATCTGTTTTTTTTTTTGTAGTTCTGTATTATTTGTACCCTTACATTGTTCTGTTTTGTTCTGTTTTTTTTTTTTCTCTTTTTCCTTTTAAATAAATTTAAAAAAAAAAGATTACAGGTGTGAGTGAGCCCCCATGCCCAGCCACTTCCTTTTACATACTTTCAATACTACTAATTCAGTAACAGCTAGTAAAATTGAAGTTATTACCATAAGGAACAAAAAATATGAAACAGTAAGTCAGCATAAATATAATACATAGGGAGGCTTTATCTTAATTCAATTTCCACAAAAACATTTGCAGCAGAAAATCAAAAGACAAAGGGAAAACCCCTGTAAAACAAACAGAAAACCTGTCTCATTTAAAAATATAAGTGTTTCAGCCAAGAACACAGCCAGTTCACCTCCTTCAGAAGTATATCACTGCTGAGTCTACATTGCTTAATTTGCACAACCATTTCATTTTTCACCACCACTAAAATTTAGTCTTCGCCGTGTAAGATCACCACCTAGTGGCTGTGATTAGAGGCATGGACTTGTTCTCTCACTAGTACACACACATGTATGGTGAAGACAATGCCTACCTAAAATGCCTGCCCCAAGCAAAGAAAGTCAAAGTCTGAAAAGTCTTCTGGCAGTTGTTTCAAGACACCCAGACATTTAATTTTATTCAGAAGACAATATTAAGAAGATTAAGTAGAACTCTGTATTTCACTTGTCTATCAGCCAAATGTAGGATATAGTGGAACTGTATTTATTCATAAGGACACTTTACATGTGACACTGAATAACCAATGTATGTGTGTCACAGTGAAGTAGATTTACAGTCAGTTTTTTAAAAGTTCTTTCAATGGAAAGAAGAAACACCACTTCAAGAATTTTTATTTTTCACAATAGTTTGAAGTATAATTTGATATTCACTAAATAGCTGAAAAATCTATTTCACAAAGAAATACAGTATAGGCATGGCAAACATTGTTTTATCTTTGCAGAAATAAACACATTATGATAAAAAGTAACAACTGTACTTGGTAAAGTATCTCTCTCTGTGTCTGTGGGTGGTTCTAGAGATGGAACCCAGGACTTCACACATGCTCCTCCAGTACTCTACCAACCGAGCCAGAGCAGTGGTCCATTCCTAAAGGACACTACTGTGAGAAATGGGCTAATGCTCTGGGGTCAAAGCAACTTACTCTAGACAAGGCCTGCATTCAACCCCAGCGAGGAAACAGTACCACTTCAGTGCTAGAGACAAAGGTGATGCTCAGTTTACAGGTACACTGAGAAAATGCTTATTTGCAATATTCACAAACGTTTATTACAACATATAGGTCTCATCTTGAACTACAGTTAGCTAAAAGATTTTAAGAAATTTAAAAATCTGACTGGGAAGAATTAGAATACAACTGAAACAATTGAGAACAAAATTACCAAAGCCAAATTATGGTTTCATATATTAACTAACATATTTAAACTCAGGTTCTCGGTAGAAACATGCTTTTTTCTCACTTCCTCTAAGGCATTCAACTAACGAAGAGTCCCTCCTCTGACTGAAAAAAACATATTCTTGGTCTTCTCCATTTCAAAGCGGATTTCTGCTCGAGGAGCCTTGACTCTACTCCTCCAGGTCCGGGTTTCTCAGGCTCAGCACCAATGACATTTTGGACTGGACACTCCTTTGATGCAGAAGAAGGTGAGGGCAACACCCCCAACCCCACCACCGAGAATCACTGCTTGAGAAACAGCCAGAAGCCACTACTGTTTTAGGTCTCTTTTTTGTTTTTGTAGTGCCAAGGACTGAACCCCGGGCCATACCCAAGCTGGGAAGCTGCCCTCCCACCGAGCTACACAACCAGCTCCTCGTTTTCAGTCCTTTCAACATCTGTGAAGAACAATTTAAAATCTACTAGATTCTCCCTCAAAAGTCAGTACACAGATGCACATGGTAAAAATAAACTAAGTCTCTACACTTTTATAAAGGCTGAACTCTGCACTCTACACATTTGATTAATCTGCTTCACTAAAATTCACAGCCCTAACTTACTGAGAAGGATCCAGCCTCAAGAGACTGCATCAAGAAAACAAGAAGCAGACACAGACACAACAGTGACTCCAAAAGGACCTGAGAAAGGAGCACGGGTCCCATGAAAAGGACATGAATGAGAGCTGAGTGTGGTGGCACACTCCTGTAAGCCCAGCACTCGACAGGCTGAGGCAGGAGGATCCTTGGAAGTTCAAGACCAGCCTGGGCTACAAAGTGAGCCCAAGGCCAGCCTGAACTACATTGTGAGACCATCTCAAAAAAAGGAAGATGACGACGATGACAAAGATGAAGACAAGACTAAGAAGACAAAGACGTAGATGACGAAGAAGACAACAAAAACAAAGAAAAGACGAAGAAGACAACGACGACAAAGAAGAAGACGACAATGACCACGATGATGACAAAGAAAAAGAAGAAGATGATGAGGAAGAAAAAGAAAAAGACATGAATGAGATGGCTCATGGCTGAGGCAATTTAGTCTTTCTCTACCTGAAGCTTTTTCAACTCTTCCCAGACACCAAGCATAACTCTGTACTCTGTACTCACAAAAGAATCTGATGAGTTTAAATGAAGTTTTTTGACTACAAATAACTACAAATAAATCAAAAGAACCCTGCCTACAACTGCCTGGAACTCTGAACAACTACTTCTATTTATTTTTACTTACTGAAAGAAGAACTGTCAATTATGAAATGGTCATAGATTGGAAATTCAGATTCAAATATTGCCAAATTTGTTATGTAGGTCAACAGACATGCCTTTATTAATTACAACTGCTTGTTGACATTTACTTGATACGGTTAATGGATTAAGATAACTTTTATTTCTCAAATATTCATATATAAATGAAAGCTACATCAGAGGGCAATTACCTTCACACTCAATAAAATATAATTTAAAACTTTATAGTTTCATTAAACTACTTCAGAACAAATAGGTATTTTATTCAGCATTTTTCCCACGTTAAAATACCAAAGATATTCTTAATATTTTTGTATTTGCTTTCCAAGAAGAGACATTATTTTATGTGGATAAAAACAGAAATGTTTCCTAATAGTAGTAACCAAATTAATGCTCAAAGATGTCAGAGACACAAAGAAAAACTTGGAGGTCCTCAAGGTGAAAGTGAGAGACAGATCAAAGACCAATTCTGAATTTCTTTCTTTTTCCTCTTAATATTCACTAACGTGACACCAGTTACTTTTAAAAGGATAAAATGAAGCCGAGCATGGTGGTGC